CATTCAGCACTTTTAGCCCAAGGTTATCCACAGCCGCGGGCAGAGTTGGCCCTCGGATATGGAGGTGAAAGAGCAAGCCACGGTTTGTCAACAGTAAACAAACTCTTAAATCCGTGTGCAGACATTCTTAGCATTACGTATAAATCCATCCACATATTTGTTGGAACAGTGTAGGGCTGACAGGGGTTGCTAGATCCTCTTCAAAAGGAAGTTGACAATAGCAGGTCTAGGAAATTTCACAGGCAAGGTTCCTCGAAAATGAACACACAAAAACACCTGGTTTGTAATGTTTTGTAATGCTGTTCTTTTGCTAGCTATGCTAATGAAAAAACACAAATACTTCTGAATGGTCTGTTTAAAAACAACAAAATCTGAAGAGATTGACTATCAGAGGAAAGTGGGGAAGTGGCGGCCTAGTGGTTAGAGCATAGAGCTTGGAATCCTGAGGTTCTGAGGTAAATTTCTCCAAATTGAAATCAATAAAGTTCAATTATTATTATTGTTATTATCTCTCTACATGATGTTAGTAGGAGATAATAGGCCAATAAGGAACTGCATTATAAAAAAAAATGCATAAAAATGCTTATAAGAAAGGTCTTAATGATATTTTCCATTGACTGATATCATGTTATGCTTTTGACCACAATAACTGACCTAAGAGAAATCGTAATTTCTTAATTTCCAATGATTTTGCATTAAGAAGATAAGACTGGGGACATACTTCGGTGGAACAGTTGTTACCATGCATGGTCCATATATATGGAGGCGCCTTGGCCGACCCAGGTTTGAATCCCACCTGTGGTCCTTAGCCACATGTCTCTCCAGCTCGATCGTACCCCCTTTCCTGTCAGGCCATTGCTAGAAAAAAGGGACACTAGTGCTGTAAAAACCTCAAAAAAATAAGAAGGCAGCATAGCAGTGGGCATTTATCGCATCACTTATCATCATCATGATAAGTTTCTATTAATGAGAAGAACAGTGAACTTTAGAAACTGGGTCAATTGTCAAAAAGTCTATTTCTACCTTTTTTTTTTCATTTCCTTTCATTAAATTTTTCCCCAAAAAAATTGAAAGAATATGACTAAATGCAGTTACTACAATATGTTTATTGGGGTCGCAGTACTCTGAGTACCGATGGACAAGGGTATAAATGTGAATTTTGGCCTGATGGGTTTATGTAGGTATGTATATGCTTGTTTACATGTATCTATGTATGTATGTTTAAAAATCATATTTAAGTGCTATTAGAGGGAGAGGGGGTATGAAAAATAAATTGTACTTCTGGATACCTCTTTTCAGACAACTTCCATTAATCAATGTCACTTCTCTGGCTCCATATACCGATAGGTTTATTTGGTGGAAGGTTTTGTGTCTGCTTATGTTCAGGTGAATTTAATTAGTTTGGAAATGTTAACCGGTTTCCTTTGTGTGTATTTGGTTGATTAATCTATTGTTGTTTGTCAAAATTGTGTGAAATAAATTACTATTCATTCATTTATATTTGTAATTGTGAATGTGGGACTATGATTGCTGCGCTAAGCAGTCACAGTTACCTAAGAAAGACTGAAGAAGTAATGTTCTTTTTCGTCTCTTTTATCGTTATCACGATTATATCACCCAATATACCGATAAGATTTTAAGTGCATACTTGGCAGACATGGAAATTTTGTCCAAATACTAAATGCTGTTAATGGAGAACAACCAATCCAGACCCCAATGTAGTTAGGAATATGGTTAAATATATTTCCAAAAGCGAAAAAGGAATCTTAAAAATACAAAAATGGACAGGCTTACTGAGAGCAGTAGGACATGAGAGTAATGAACAACAGCTACTGGTTGTTAATTTGTACAAACATTCTTCCTTTTCTTTTCATAATAACAGCATTTGCTTATGTTAAGCCTGGAAAAGACTGTTGTATGATTTATTACAAATAAACTGCATCAAAGGCAATGTGTTGGCATAGGGTCCAAATATTTATACACAGTCTGATCATTCATCTAATCAAATCACAGTATTTCACCCTCTATCTTATGTACTATATTCTCTTACTGCAAAAGCTGTCTAGCACAACTGATCAGGTAAAATGCCTCATTAAATGATTCAAGTAACCATGTGATTCACTATGTGGCAGTTAAAACTACCCTGCCTTTGTCGCAGCTTTGCTTACAATGGTTTCCACTGTCATTCAGGTTAAAGGATCCAGCAGTTGGTGTATCATTGATTGTTTCAGTCAGTTTTAGAAACCAAGTTTCTACACATAGGACATGAAATTGGACTGTTTTCCCTCTAAGAGTAATTTGCAAATCTCTAAGGTAAATGCAGACATATGAATGATATCAGCAAAACAGGAAATAATGTTATCCAGGTTTCTTAAAATGCAAAAGATAAAGTACATAAAAAAATAAAGTGAGCTCAGCCTATTGAGGGAGATTGAGGGAGATTTAAAAGCCACAAAGCTTGATGGGCTTAACACAGATTTAAAAAATGAACCAAATTATAAAGAAAACCACAAACATGTCAGGAAAAAGAAAAGAGGAGAGAGATAAAATATATGTGGGTGTGCGTCATGACAAAGAAAAAGATAAAACAGCAAATAAAAGACCACACAGAAACACCCTGAAGGGGTTCAATTACTGCATTTAGATCAAAGTGGGCAAAAAAAATAAAAAAATGTTCATCTGTGGCTGATTAGGAGAAACAGACAAAAGAACATTCAAAACAGGAATGGATCCTCTTTTCATTGTGGTTTCAGAAACCATCGCATATCATTGAGTTTTTTTCCATGCGCCTGAATATAACCTCTATGAAGTTCCCATTTAGTGTGAAATAAGACCCTAAACTGACAAAACACCCAGAAACAATCCATTGCTGTATTATTCTCGGTTTCAATCACATAAACGATGCGGCACAGATTCTTGCATGTTTGTGGATCTCACAGGACCCACGCTCATTCCAAACGCAATTACAACCACTTGCACACGAAGCAGTAAAATCAGCAGTTTCACAGGAGACCCTATGTTGTCTTCCAAGCTGTTGAACAAAATAAGAGGCTTCTCCATCTTCTTAACCCAGTGCAATTTGAAGTCATTTGCAGGCAATACAACCACTTTCCTGGACATAATTCCCTTATAAATGATGTGGCCCATTTCTCTCTGCCCTAATGACGGGAAGCTAAATAACTGCTTCCCTTGCACATCTTAAATATCACCATCTGAAATCAATACGCCTCTGCTGAAATGTTATCAGCAGCAATATTAATCCCTCACCTGGCTTTAATCGCTAATTTCATTTGCTATTAAGCTGATGAATGGGGTTTTAAAAAACTGAGCTATTCCTTACAAATTCCAGAGAACTAATTCATCAAGGTCACAATCGCTCTAAAGAAATATCGGCCGGCGACATGAGGGGAGGCCATTTGTGAAACGGAGGACCAAGATAATGAGGGTTTGAAATGGACAATTTAGATTGGAATGAGAATACACAAGATGGTTTTTCTGCTGTTTGCATCTGTATCCGAGTCCAATATCAGAAAGCAGATAGAGTAGCAAACAAGGTGGGGATGTGATAGAGAATTACACAAGTCTTACAAAGGGAAACTAGCTTGCTAGTTTAAAGAAAAACAGCACCATCTAGTGGTGGTTTAGCATTCGGCTGAATTATTTTCTTCCCTCTTGTTTCAATAGTGTCTTTTATTAAAAAACAAAATGTTGTCACATTATAACCACAAAGCTGATTGTGTTTTATTAACTTTATATGTTGTAAGTAAACTTATATGTAGCATCTTCCAATTTTGCACATCTATAGACTAAAATTTGTGCCGGTTCTTATACACATCAAGCTCAGTCAGACTGGATGGAGACTATTTTTGAAAAAGCTCAGTAAGCCAACATTCCTACCATCATCTGGGTTATGATTGAAAAAAAAAAGGATCCTAAACACTAGGGCTGGGTATTTTCGCCAAAGTCCTGAATCGATTCGATTTTGATGAATTCTCAAATCAGTTCAAATCGATTCAATCTGTTTTTACAATAATGAAAGTGGTTCAACTGTGTTTCAAAATACTCATGTCTTTTAATTTTTCCTGTCACATTAAACACAAAGTGCAAATTTGTAAATCAGACAAATTAAACTTGAGATGTGATCAAAACTGTCTCATAAGTGTAAACTTCAGTCTTTAGTGAGCCTATTGGGTATATTTGCAGCTGTCTGGCTTGAAGTAATCTTGAGCGCATCTTTCCTGCTCATTTGAATGTGAACGTCACACACGTCACTATAAAACTAATAGATCTCATTCCCTAGACGTTGATTTAGCAAAAAAGTTAAAGGAATCGATTCAAAATCGATTAAATCGATTTTTTGTTTTTTTACCCAGCCTTATCCAGCACATTATCTTTAACTGTTTTAAATCCAAAATGGTGCCAGACATCAGACTTCAGTTGGGACAGCTTGCTGAGCGGCGTGTTACTTGGGTCGGCATTTGCACACGCCTCATTTCAATGTGATCACGCGGGTCACTATAAAACTAATCGATCTCATTCCCAAATCGATTTTGCTAAAATGTAAAAAAAATTTATCCAAAATCGATTAAATCGATTTTTTTACCCAGCCCTACTAAACACAAGCAGCTGAATTTATCCTCATTTGTAGGATGGTGGGTTTTCCCTCAAAGGTAGCATGAGGACCTCGGCCCTCCAGCAGGCTCAGAGTAGAGCAGCTGTTTCAGTCACCCGACTCCCTCCTGACCTGCTGCCTCAATTAAACAGAGAAGTACGAGTCTCAAGTCATAAATGAATTTCTAACCTCCACTATACCAACAGTTAACAACAAGAAAGCAATAAAGGAAGGACCAAAGAGCTTTTATAAGCATGTTACTATGAAAATAGTTCATATATATATATGACCAAAAAAAAAACATCTTCGCACTAAGTGAAGAAGATCAGCAAGCATAAGGGGGAGAACCGTTGGATAATTAAAAGTTTATTAAATGCGTTGAACTGACCTTTTTGTTCTCTTGCAGGTAGAGTCTCTGCAGTTTGGGACATCCTTGAGCCAACGCTATCATGCCTTCATCACTGATCCCATAGCACTGACCCAGGTGAATATCTTTTAACTCCTTGCAGTTTGCTCCCAACTGAAAGCAAAGCAGAGAAACCATTTAGCAGCAAAATATTAGTGAGAGCAAACAAATAAATCAAAGCTCACCTTTATCAATGGTGCATCAGTGAGTCTGTCCTGGTTTCCCACATGCACCTTGACCAGGAGAGGGCAGTGTGTCGCTAAAGCGGTCACTGAGATATCACCCAGCTGCTTGCACCTGTAAGCCGTGTACTTCTGCAGGCCCGGACAGTGGGAAGCCAGAGAGGACACTCCATAGTCATGGATGCCCCTGCAATCCGAGATGTTAATCTCTCTCACATTCTGCTTGCGAGAAGCTATTTTCACAAGGAGATCGTCGTTGACCTGAAAAACAACAAAAAAAACAGTTGCCTTATTCGATTGAAAACAAAAGCATTCCATATGATTGCTTATTAGAGACAGGTCAAACTACTGAAGGAGAAGCTATCTCTTACTTCTTGCAAGCCGCTGAGGTCAATTCGCTTCCAGAATTGAAAGTCCAAGCAGAGATCTCTCCAATATTTACAAACCAGAGAGGCACAAAGACAGCGTTCCTTTACTGTCAAGAGGGACAGCACCTGTGAAGACAAAAAATAAAATCAGCATTTCTAGTCTATAATACACAGAAATAAAAATAAAAGGCAGCTTTAATTTCTCTGACCTTAAGAAGGATGGAGGAAGGCAGTTGATTGATGCTCAGCTGCTCGGCGCCATCAGAATCTCTCGCTTGACAGTCGTCATAATGATGCATGCAGCATGAGGCAGAGTCTGAACTGTTGGACGATTCGGCGTAAAGAGTCAAACCACAGCAGCCATCGGCTGGGGGGGAGGAAGAGGAAGCAGAGGTGGAAGAGGAAGAGGGGATGGGGCAGATGGGAAGGTGGCTGTGACCGGTTTCAGAGTTTAAAGCATCTCCACCTCCTCCCGCTGCCCCGTTCTCTAGCCTTCCGTCAGGAGCGGCAAAGGTGCAGCGCGGCTGCTTGCACGGGGTACACCTTTGCACCTGTGAGCACTTCCTCTTGCACACCTGTATTCAGACACACAAACAGATCAATCAGGTCCTCCTCTGAGACAGCAGATCATAAATCATAGCAGGAGCTTGCATGGTGCGTTCAGGGTAACTTTCTTGGGGCAGATCTTAATGTCTTGTAATGATTGTAACACATTCAGGTTTAATTACATCAAACTGGTCATTTTTTCTGCGGATAGGTCCATAACTATTAATTAGTTAGAGATTGTTTGATTCTTTGTTTTGTTTTTTTTACCTTACCTAACAATTGAACTGCAACTTTTATGTATTTTAATTTTAAGATTTTTGTGCCAGATCACAATAAAGTAATGCGTAATTGTCTAGGAAAAAAGTCATAGGTTTTAGTTATATAAACATAAACAGTAAAGTGTGTGTTTGTATTGTTACTATCCATAATCTTGAATGGCTGCAGAGTTTAGCGTCGATGCGTACCATCTCTGTGTATTCGCTGGTGCAGCCAGGCACAGGTATGGGCACGGTCACTGACACGCCAGCGGCCCGGAAAAGCACCGGTGGTGGGATCAGTTTGGCGGGAACAGCTGATAAAAGACTCCTCCCTTGGCCCTCCCAGATAGAAATCTCTCTCTGTGACAACAGAAACTTTGAACAGTCCTCAGGTGACGCGAGAGCTGCGTATCGTTCGGCCAGCTTGGAGGCAGCTCCCGCTCCGATGCCGACTTCGCCTACCCCCGGCACGCTGATTCCAGTGATGCTGTTGCGCTGGCACCCGATCACGCCGCCGTCCAGTTGATCGCTGTCGTCGTCGAGACTGCTGCTGTTGTTGTTGTGGACGATGAAGCAGAGCATGCACGGTCCCTGAAGGAAACAGTTCCTCTTCTTCTTCCTGTGATGTAACTTGCGTGTCCTCTTCTTCAGGCGTAGACGATTTTTTGAGAGAAGATGGCCCATATAGATGATTCAAGGAAACTCCTAAAAATCATAAACATTTGTTTAAAAAAAAAGTCAAATTACCTGATAATGAAGACGTATCAGACCAGCAGGTTCTGCAACAGCTTTTTTCCCCACTGCCATCAGACTGTTGAACTATTTAACTCTAAACAGAACTCCATCACACCCTTCACTTTATTTGCACTACCAACGCAGCTAAAAAATTTAATAATCTTTTAAAATGGGACCCAACGGAATGTTAAACTGCATTTTGCATCATGTTTATTTTGCACTGCACTGAGCCTTTCCATTTTAATGCCATTTTGCATCATTATTTTTTAAACTGGTTTTCCTTCCTATACTGTTTACATGATGATCACAGCTGCACTTTATGATGTTAATGTTGATTTCACTGTTGGAAGCTGTAAGCAACGTAATTTCATTTTGTATACACTTAATGTACACAAAATGACAATAAAGTTCGTCTAAGCTGCTCTGCTGTTTTACTACTAAACCAACACCTGCTTCTTGCGTAGAAGGGGTAAATAAGATAGTCCACCTACACGGTCTTGACTACCCACAGGTTACACTGTACAACACTTCTGATGGATATTATTCAGAGACTGTACGCCCAGCAGCAAGTCAAGAACTACTAATTCAAAGGAGCTGATCATTAATTTCTGCAATGCTAATATCTAGTTTCTAAAGTGTTGTTTGGCTTATCCAAAAGTAGAACAGCTGCAAACTACAATGATTTATTAGGTTGGTGAGGAGGATCATCAGGGTTCACCTCTCTGTCCTTTTATAGGGTCCAGGCTGAGCAAAAGGGCAGCTAAAAGCTTGCTCGACATGAAGGCCTTAGTCCTTAACGTGGCTGTCACAGGTCCGACTCCCGGCCCTTTAACCTTTGCTGCATGCCCACCGCCATGTCTCCCAGACTCATTTTCTCTCATCTGAATGTCAAATAAAACTCTGATAGAGCCTTATATGGAGTTAGTTTACTATTATCTTTTCTAACATAGAAAGTTTCTATAGATCAGTGCTTCTATGTTCCCTCTACATCTTCTTCTGTTTCCTCGAACCCCAATCAGCCTCAGCAGATGGCCACCCACACTAAGCCTGGATGCTAAAGGTTTCTTCCTCTTAAAAGATAGATAACACCCCCACTGTAGCTGCATGAAAGCTGGGTGTGAAAACGAGTCCTTGAAATCAGTGATCTGGTTGAATAATCTTTGTAAATTGCCTTGAGATGACATGTGTTGTGAATTGGTGCAATATAAATAAACTGAATTAAATTGAACTAAACAAATAAAAAATATTTCTGCAGACCGCACAAATCCTGGACATATAGTGTTGGAACTGAACTTTCAGGTTGTGTGTTAAAAGGGGGGGGGGCTCTTTTTTTATGTATTTAATGAGTAAAGTGGAATTGAAATCAAATCCCTTGTCAGAAAAGCTGATTCTGATCATTAAGGATCAGATAGCCATCTTGGCAGCAATATAAATGTTTTTATGCGTTTATCTGAACATTATATTGAAATATCAGCTGCTACGTTCATCATTTGATCTGGTAAATAAATTCAGTCAGATGATCAGCTGAACAAGAAAAAATCCTTGCAGCCCATTAATCAGCAGGCATTTTCCGGTAGTTTTTATTGCATTATTGCTCAGTGATGTTGCCAACAGTGTAAGCTTTTGTCATTTAGCTTAATAAAATAGTAGCTTCCAAAATTCCTTGATTATTTGAGTTTACTGAGGGACATTTGCTTCTCAGATTGCATGGTGTCATCAAACAACTCGGAACTGTGAGAGCTTATGATAAAATCCTTAGAAAAATAACATACAACCTAATTCAAAGTGATGTATGTACAATTTTATGGACATTTATTCATAATTTCATTGCATTAAAAGATCAAAATCAAATATTTAAAAAACAGTTATATTTGCAGTGTAGTATTTAGTAGCAGTAGATATCCCTGTTATTATTTCCATTAAGTTGGGATCAGTTCTTGTCGCTGTAAAGTTTAGCTTCCAGCAGTAAACATGGAGTGATCGTCTTGGTGCAGCCGAATGAAAACACAGATGTAAACAGTGAACAGGTGGCTATTTGAATAGCATAAACAAAAACAATTAGCAGGTTAAACCTCGAAACTGCGACTTACCTGAACTATCTGCAGATTTGGGTCCAGTTTGACTCAAGGTTTCTCGCTGTTTTAGAGAAAAAAATAAACATAAGAAGCTAAGAGCTTGCTGGCAGGCTAAGCAGCTCCATCTTCAGATGCTAACTTAGCTCTAGCTCTCAGCATGAAGCAGCTCTCACCACACTCCGTCGGTCGGTACCTGCATAATACTAATGCGGCACACGGTCAAAGTGAGCAGTGCCAGCCCCGGCGGTGAAGGTGGGGAGGCCAGAGAAGCTGCATGTGACCCACCGAGACGTTTATCCAAACAGTTTGCAGCTTTGCTTCTGCTGCTGCTCTGCAAGACAACACTTCCGCACCGAGAGGACAGAGCTAAGGAAGCCGACGAGGGCGAATTGGAAAATGCAACGAGGACAAACTTCCACTCCACATATCCTTAACATTAACTATATCCCAAACCTAAATACTTAAGAATAACAGTAAAAAAAAGACAGTTATTACTCCTCACAGATATTGGCAGCTAAACTAACTTCCCTGCAAAAGTCACCAGGGAATGTGATAGGAATGCGATGCCAAACAAGCAGTGTCTTCAAAACATACTAACAACAACAACTAACTAACAACAAATATAACAAATTTAAGATCTTCTAGTAGTGCTATTGGTTCAGTCTGTCTTGTAAAGCAGCAACACTTGGTTTGTCATTGATGTGTTTCATGCAAAGAAGCAGAGGCATAGCCAGAAAATTTTTACAAGGGTGGCCATGGCCATCCCTGAGCCCCCATCTAGCTCCACCATTGCAAAGAAGTATACAAAATAAGTGATTAATTCATATTCATTCAAACTCCATCCATCCATCCACCCATTTTGCATCACACTTATTTCAAGCGGGGTCGTGAGGTGGGGTACACCGTGGACACATCGTCAGTCCATCAGAGTTTATTCAAATTCTTTATATTTTATTTATCCATCCATCTTCTACCACTTGTCCATTAGGGTAATGGGTTGCTGATATCCTTAGGCATAATATAAGAGTAGGCCCCGCATTGACTATCGCGGTGCCGGAATTACAGGCGCCATCTTGGGGAGGTCGACCTGCTAACCTAACCTGCTGCTTTAAGCAGAACAGAAGAACGATGCTTCAGCACTACAGCATATTTTTATTTAAATCAACAGACTGTTGACATCAGTCATCGAGGTATAACTTCATGAAGGCATCAGAGCTTTGCAAGACATTACTAAATAAACAGCATATATACACTACATAGAGCAGAAACTCCCTTTGTTGTCCCACAGTAGGTAAATTGTGGAGTTACAGCAGAAAAAGTTTACAGCAAAAATGGTCACACAAATGTGGCCCCTAAAAAGTGTATAAAAATAATAGAATAAGTGAGAGTTAAAAAAAAATATATGCAATCCAATTTTATTTGTTATTTTCTTTATAAAAAAAAACCACAGCTGACCAAAGTGCTGTAAAGAAAAATACATAAGTAAAACATAAAACACAATAAATAAAAAACAAAACAGCTAAAACATGGGTAAAAATAACACCTACATAAAATATAAATAGATAAAATTAAAAAATAAAATACTGTACAGAACAGTTTTTTATACAAATATAAATACTGTGCATCTGAAGAATAGATCATCAATATACGGCTTTGGACATTTTTGCAGTATTTGTGCTTTGTCACATACATACATCCTATCAGAACATTCTATTACTCTTAATTCAACTAAAAATATTTAAATAAACTGAAGCATTTGTTTGTTTTCAGAAAAAAAAATGTTAAAATTAGTTCAATATTCCGAAAGTTAAAGTTGATTCAAATTGATTCTGTTCCTGCTCAATGCATTACAGAGCGGAGCTGATGACAGCCCCAAGATGGCACCACCAAATCACATCAGCGCTCATAGGTGAAAGCGATCGATGCTGGGTCTACTCTTATATTATGTCTATACTATATCTATCTGGAGCAGTCTTTGGACCTAAGGCAGGTGGATCCTGAACAGGTAGACAGCACAGCAGGCGCGGAGCTAGATGGGGGACCACGGGTGGCCATGGCCACCCTCAGCCAATCAGTGGCCACCCATGTATACTCTCAAGGGGAATGTTCAAACTTATTAAACATTTAAATTTTTCATATAATAACAAATACTTGACAACTAAAACGCTGTGTTTATTCATATCAAAATACTAATATTAAAGTTGATATAAACAAAATTCATGCTCTTTTCAGAATTAGATTTTTGTGTTATATGAGGGAAAGAGAGAATTATGTCTCAGCAAGTCACCTAGGTAACTACTTCAATAATAACCTAAAAATCTATTTAATGTAGATATTAATACATATAAATATATATATTTTTTGCAGAACAATTTTTGGTAAAAGTAGGTAAGTAATGACGATGGAGAAGATGTTCGCCTCAGACTTTTTTTCCTGTACACTTTAATTAGTCAGCACAGATATTTAAATATATGCATCTATTTGTTAGGAAAGGCTGTAGGAAAGTATAGTTTGTCTTTATTTACAAAATATGGATGTTGTGGTGGTTCCTTTGGGAACAGTGTAGATTGACCCTTAGGTTCTGGTGCCTATTCGCTTTCGCCCACCCCCCAGTGTAAATTGGTGCCTGGCCACCAATCAGCTCTAGCGACATTTTAGAGCACCTAAACATAGCAGTACTGATTTTGTTCTGTGGGAAGAAACCAGGGTACCCAAAAAGAATCTATACATGCAGGAATGAGAACATGCAAAGCATGCAGACGCCTTCCAGAGTGAGCCTAGCCTGGGGGGCCATGATCAGCTTTAGCCAATCTTTGGACACCCCTACCAGATGATTTGTTCTTCCTATGTGAGTGTAACCCCCATCAAAAATGTCACAATTTATTATTCATAATATTATACTACAAATAAAGAGGTATATTAACCAAATGAGTGCTCTTTTAATAATTAGTATGTTTTATGGGGTAGAGTTTGTCTCTGCAGGCATCTAGGACTCTTCTATGTAATTAGATATAAAGAATTACTCAAGCCATTTAATGTAGTGGATGTAAAATCATAAATCAAATTAAACTGCACCAATGTTTTTATCTAGAACCTTATGAGATCTAGTCTTTCCTCAGTGATTTATCTGGAAAATACAGGTTAGATGTTCCTGTTAATCTTCCTATTGGTTCATTGTGATCAGTGTAGATTGACCCTGAATTATCGGCCATCCTCCTCAGTGCACAGTTCTTTGGAACCCGGCCTCTGTGTGCAAATAATATCTAATGAGTAAATAAATTACAGAGAGATAGTTTACTCTCTCTTTCAAATTATTTTTGTTTACAAAACTTTCCCCATGTACACAGATAAGCGCAATAACATTTTCACTCAGTACTTTGCCATTGTAAGCTCAATGTTGGAAGTGGCATTAAGTATTTGTTAAGAGTAGATAACTTATGCCTCATAAAAGGCTCTGCTGCTCTGGAATCAGACCTCTCCCCATCAGACTGCACAGATATAAGACAAGCTCCTAAATAGGCAATTTAAACACTCCTCTCTCTCCCTCTACCCCTCTTTCTGTCTCTCTATCCCTCTCTCTCCCCTCTCTCTGTCCCTCCCCTCTCTCCCTCTCTCCTCACCTCTCTCTCCCCTCTCTCCCTCTCTCCCTCTCTCTCTCTCTCTCTCTCTCTCTCTCCCCTCCCTCTCTCTCCCCTCCCTCTCTCTCACTCTGGGCGTGAAGCTCCAAACTTCCTCAGCCATTGAGAGGCAACTCCCTAAATAACCCTGGGAAGCCTGCATGCGAAGGGAAAAATGGCTGAATTGTTTTCACCGATTACTCGACAGGTTTCAAGGGAAAAGTTTGACGCTGGAACCCAAAATCTGAAAGATATTAAGCTCAAGGATGTCGAGGACTGTTTGATTTACGACCGTCTTGGAGTCTCTTTCCCTTTCAAGAACTTATATCAAGACAGCAAATCCGTCATCATTTTTGTCCGGGTGAGAAAGACAGAAAAACAAAAACATGCAATAGAAATAATATGGCTTCTGTATAGTTTTCCATTGTCTTGTAAAAGGTATTCTTCAGGTGAGCCTAAGCTCACCTGAAGAATACCTTCCTAAGCTCCTTCCTATGAGGAATTTCATATGAAAATAAAAACGGGATGAAGATCTCGTAGTTTTGCTCTCCTGTTCTAATAACATCTGCTTATAAATAACATAAATCCTGTTTGTCTGTGCAGAATTTCTTATGCTATAGCTGCAAGGAGTATGTTGAAGATTTGAGCAAAGTGCCCAGAGAAGCGCTGGAGGTGAGTCCTGACCTATTGAACCTGCATTAATCCCATCAGCCAATCAGATTTTCTGTTGTATCATGTTGACAGTCTACAACAAGACTGTTAAAAGTGATTCAATGTGTCTGTGCAGGAGGCGGGAATTCGACTGGTTGTTATAGGTCAGTCATCTCATCAACATATAGAGGTAATCAAATCTATATAAATCTAATAGGAATAATGCATGATGACGCTACCAGAAGAAGAGACATTTAATTTAATTATTTCAAATGGATGTTTAAAGTGTTTACATTAATGTCATCCTGGAAAACTTTTCAGCATATTGTCAGGCTATATCATTATAACCTTTGGTTTAATTTATGGGATGTGTGTGAATAACCAGTACAACATTGTGAATGATTAATGTGGAAAATAAATCATGCAAAAACAAAAAAATCTATAGTAATCATTTGCATTCAGCCCCTTTTAATATAATTATCCTAAATAAACCACCACATGTTTCTATCAGAAGTGACCTCATTAGTTAATAAAGCATCATGTGTGTAATTTATTCTGCTGTGAAAAAACAATTATCTGCAAAATAGGGAATTAAGAACTGGATGAGACATTAAACAGTTATATTAAACTTGTGTGGAAGGAGAAGGATGGCATAGTCTGATATCAATCAAGTCTGATCAATTCAGTCATTTTTTATAGCTTCTTGTTGTTTTTGTTTTTTTTATTTGTTCATAAATGTCTTTATGATTAATTATGGCTTAATTCTTCTTTGTCTTTGTGTTCCTCTCTCTTTAATTCAGCCTTTCTGTTTGCTGACAGGCTATTTTCATGAAATGTATGTGGACCCCAAAAGAACAATTTACCTTAAGCTGGGGATGAAGATAGAGGAGACATTCACTGACTCTGGTAATTATGTAAGATTTAAAAAATGTTACTGCTAGTGTCAGATTAAAAAGATAATAGACGTCAGGGTCAGGGTTGGGATGTTTAGATTAGATCTTGGCTTTGAATGATTTACATGTTAGTTTTCCTTCATTAACCACAGATAAAGGGATGGATATTCTTTGTGGCACAGTCACATATTGAGATGTGTTTCTGTGTTCCCAGCGCTGACCAGCCCCCATGTGAAGTCTGGTTTATTCATGGGCCAAATAAAGAGCATATGGAGGGCCATGACCAGCCCTGCCTTTGACTTTCAAGGTGATTTGCATCAGCAGGGTGGAGCCATGATCGTGGGACCAGGTACAGTAAGGTGTCTTCTCTCTTTATCATACCTTCTCTCATCTTTAAAAATAAATCATATTTCCCCCTCTTTTCTCTGCAGGCTCCCAAGTCCATTTTTTCCATTGTGACATGAACCGATTGGATCACATGCCCATCAACTGGCTCCTTGAGCTCGCTGGAGTTAAACAGACCTTTGACTTTAACAATAAACCTAAAATTATCCATGTGTAGCATCAACCCCCACCCCACCAGAGAGCTTTACTGTAAATATATAGCTACAATTCCATGATATGCAACCTTTTCCTTCAATTATTATAGGTTGCTAAGCTTGCATTTCTTGTCATAATGCAATTGCAGCTCATTTATAAGAAAGAAACTAGACGGAGGCACCCAATATCAGTTTAAGTAACAAAAAAAAAACCTTATATAGCATTGTAAAAGAAACCATTTTTCAGGATTATATCATTTGTAATAATAAATGGATAATCTAGTTAAAGGTGGATTATCTTGTGACTATATTCATCAGAGTTAAGATGTTCAACATTTCGGTGTTACTCATTTCTGTCAAGCTGATGGGAGGCGTTTCCTTTTTTTATGAAAGAAAGTAAAGTGATGTAAGTTCTTGTGATATTTATCTTGGATCTTGCAGTGAATGTGTTTCTTTCCGGTCTTTCAATTTGAAAAAAAAAAACTTTTTTTACTGTGAAGAGTATTTCCATTATTTTCATCCATTAACAAGTCTTCTCCCTGGGGCTTTACTTGAACAACACCCCTCATGTCCCCCTGAAACGAAAAAGTTGCTGCTCTCAGAGTGTTATGTGATGCATAGCAAATCCAGCATACCCGTTGTCAACTTGGACACAAACTTCACTTAATAATCTGTATTAATTTGGTCTAAATCAGCTAATTGGTTCGTGAAACATCCCTGCAGTTGTTTAAGGTGTTTGTAATGTTCGTTTCTGATATCTAGAGTCTGAAGCCGGAAATGTTGGACGGACCTTTTTTTAATTTTTTTTAATTCATAGCTGCAGGAATGAGTTCACAGCAAACGTTTTAAAGCTACATGCTTAAAAATTGGAAAGATGACCAAGCACCAGAGATAATGAGATCAAAATGACCAGTACTAGTTTGCATATATTATAATGACTCAAAGATAAAGAGTACACTGAATATTTAATTTTTTTTTTTTTATCCATATTTACTTGCACTGATGTGTCATCATTTTTATATGCAAATCTGGATAAGATCAGAATTTCCCTTCTGTCTAACACCATAGCTGCTGTATGGTTCATGTGCTTTTTTTAGACTATCAAGAAAATTTTAAGCTATGACATTTTTGTAACCAATTTATTACATGTCGGTGTTTTTGGGCTGGTTATGCAGTTCGTTACAGGGTAACATTCACATGGTCCAAGGAAAAGAAGTTTTTCTTTAGGATTATTTTAAGAAAAGCAGAATTGGACCAATCTATGTAGTTCTGAAAACAAACATCTCAAACTCTGCCCTGCAAATGTGGTCATACTGAACTTTATCATATGTTTTCATATTTTAACCACAATCATCACTTTACTTTCATTTATTTTTTTAATCTACCGACTCAAGTATTGTATAACTGTGAAGTGAAAAATATGCATTGTTTTTCATTTTATTTCATGAATAAAAATCTTAAAGGTGTGGAGAGAATTTGTGTTCAGGCCCCCAGACTAATTTTTTTTTTTCAAACCACCTTTACCACAATTAAATCTATAGGCCTTTTGGGGGAAATGCCTTACCACTTTCTGGTTCAAGATCACTTAGATTTGGATAGCTCTTTTCGGAACTAGATTTTGTGTTTCATGGGGTAAAGAGAAAATGTGTCTCTGCAAGTCATCTGGGAGTCTTCAGTGAAGTCATAGATAAAAAACAATATTAATTACAACTTTTCAAATAATTAAATTATGTAGAGATTAGTGCTTGTAAATATCAATTTTAAGCAGAATGTTTATTGATACAAGTGGTAGGGCTGGGTAAAAAAAATCGATTTTGAATCGATTCCTTTACATTTTTGCAAAATCGATGTCTAGGGAATGAGATCGATTCATTTTATAGTGACCTGCGTGACGTTCACATTCAAATGCGCAGGAAAGATGCATTCATGATTACTTCAAGCCAGACAGATGCAAATATACCCAATAGGTTGACTGAAGACATTAACAAATGGGGGCTGACCAGAAAACATCCTTTAGTTGTTACAGACAACGCTGCAAATATGGTTTGTGCAGTGGAGATAATGCAACTCATGCATTACTGCTGTGTCACGTCTGCTTGCTCGAGTAAGGCTTCACTTTTTCACTTTTCACAAACAAGTTTGCACTTTTGAGACAGTTTTATTCACATCTCGAGTTTAAACTATCTGATTTACAAGTTTGCACTTTTTGTTTAATGTCACAGGAAAAAAACTAAATAAATGAGTATTTTGAAACACAGTTGAACCACTTTCATTATTGTAAAAGCAGATCGAATCGAAATTAATCGATTTAGAAACTTATTAATCAAAATCGAATCGATTCAGGACTTTGGCGAAAATACCCAGCCCTAACAAGTAGGTAAGTAATGACGATGGAAAAGATTTACGCCTCACACCTCAAAACTGAAAGAATTTTATCCACTATACCTTTTATTCATATATGCGTCTTGTTAGCAAAGGCTTTCGGAATTTATAGTTAGCCTTTATTTAGAAAATATGGATGTTTTGCTCGTTAATTTTCCTGTTGGACGAGACATCCCAAGTTCCAAAAACTAATTTCAGGGAGATGCTTTTCCCCCAACCCCCCGCGGACAACGGATCCGCACTGTGCCCCATGCATACAAACTAAAGGCCAGCAACATTTCAACAGCTGTTTATTAACTAACAGTAATTTCTTAAACACAAAACAGAACAGTATTGGTGTTTTATTTTTAATACTTTCAATCACACATAGGTTGTGCTTTCTATTTTTCATGGGACTTAAGCATACAGTGCACCTCGCCATGGTGTCATCATTCCTCACCATGGCTGGTTCTAGACAGGGGCCAACGGAGGCCAGTGTCCCTGTAGATCATGTCCTGTACTGAAGACATATTACTTACAAGAAATTCTAATGATGATCTGCGCTGAAACAGACATGATTACTGATAGGTCCTTTGGATCTATTTCATTCTTCTTCTTTACAAATTCTGTTTTACTAATTATTAAAAAACAATAAGGTGATAGCTTCAGTGGGATTGACATAGGATCCCAGTTTTCATCCATTAAATTTTTTCCCCCACATATAAAAAAAAAAATTGCTCTAATTTTTTTAGATGAATTTAAGTTTTTCTTGAGTTCCAAATCCATTTTTAGAGAAAATGGTAGTTTTAACTTAAATTAAGTCAAAAAAATTTGTAAAATTCCTACATTTTAAATGTATATTCATCTCATAAGAAATAGAACTTTTATTGAACCTAATTGAAAAGAAATTTCCCTTCATGCAGCTCTCTTAATATATTTGAATCCCTTGCCCTGTTTTTTATTTCATGCTTTTCTGTTCTCCCATGAAAACACGCTGCCCCCCTCCTGGCCCCCTGGTACATTTGGTCTAGATCCGCCTCTGTTCCTCACCTTCACTAGATGTGGATATACTTTAGTATACTCTGCTGTAAAATTAGTCCTATATTTTCGTTTTTTACTCGAAGATTCAACCTCTGCCGTTTCACAGGATGCACAGCTTAGAGTGGTAACTAGGTGACTGCCAGAGAGTAACCCAGAGAAACTTATCGGACTGATCCAATCAGCTTTCTGACAACCAGTCGTCTGGAACGCTGGTGGAACAGAGCATCACTTTGGACAGATACGCTGCGCAGATTTCACCAGCAACCTCCTCCCTACACCCCGATCTCTCTTGTTGTTTCTGCACGATCAAAGCAGTTCTAATCTGCACATGATGCATGAATGCACACGCATTAAAAAAACCACCTCGCAGAGTGTAAAATCTGGGATAATTTATCCAAATCGCGGACATCCGTGAACAACTATCGATATCAGGGAGACTCCCGGAACTTCCGGGAGACTTGGGAAGTCTGAAATTGACCGTGAGGTTCTGACCCCTATCCGCTTTCGGCCCCCCTTCTCAGTGTACATCAGCCCTTATGAAAATGTTCTGGCTACGCCTCTGCTTATAATCCAGATTTCTAAACTGCTGGTGGACTGATTTCAGAACACAGATCTTACATTTTCTATGTTCTGGTCATGTTTACAATTAAATTCAGTTTCACTTTATGCTTTACACTTTCCTTCAACTATGTGTTCTAACTGAGTGTCAAACACTGCAGCTGCTTTAGGGTGCTTTAATCCCGATACGTCACTTGCAAGGGATTCAGAAATCAGAAACCTGCCCCTACTCAAAGACGTCACCACCACAGAGAGAGGCTGGAGCAGCCACCTCTACCTCGGTTTGACACAACAGCAACACGCAGATCAGGAGCAAAGCCATGTTACATTAACAGCCAGGAGGATATATCTGCAGTAGACTCGGGGAATGTCCTTCATGCTGCAGCTCCCGAGGAGAGAATGAAGCGCAAAAACGAGAAGAGGCGAACCGAGTCCAGGAAAAAACGCCGCGCAGCCCACAGCAGCCCAGAGGCGGAGCCAAACTCTGATATTTACATTGAGATAACAGGTAAGAGCGCTCTGCACACTGAATGAACCCTGGCAACTTTCCAGGCACTTGGTCAGTGGATGGACACCTGCGAACACTGTGTCCTTTTAAAACAAAACACTCCTCGGTTTTTTTAGTTTTGCCCCCAATATGGCGACAGCGTCGGTCCTTTATCTAGCAGGATTGTAGGGAGTTAATAATAATACACTATGTAATATACACCATGTAATTTATATTTGGCGTTTATGACAATGAAATCAGTCAGTTTTGTAAAACATTATCTTAAATGTTTCTCCTTTAAACCGATCGTGTTCTACATGCGCACAATGCGTATGATATGTTTGTGATGTTAAACAGTAATCCCCACGTCGGTTCCTCCTGATAATGATTTTTTTAAACCTTTATGACGTTTCCTGGTTCCAGTTCATCCTTCATCTCAAGTCTGACAGAGAGGGTTTGTCTTAAGTGGAAACAACAAATCTGACTGGCTAACAGATCGTCCTAGCAACCGCTTTGGCAACTATCCCGGGACCTATCATGTCGCTCATGAAGAGAACTTTAAACTAAAAGAGGCGGGGACCCAACGGAAGTGACAGTTCCTTCCTCCAATCAGGTGGAAGCACTGTATCTCTCTCAGCCAATGGCGTCTCAGCTAAGCTTTAAGGGGAGGAGTCACGCGGGGAGGTTTGGAGATCGGTTTTTAGCAGAGTGCGCACTTGAGATCTAAAGTCTGCTTCGCTTCTCAGATGGTGACTTTCTTCTTTTTTTTAAAAACATTGCAGCATTAGAAAAGAAACATTAAGTCAGACTTATTTCAATATAATTGATATTACGTTTTTTTTGAGGAAAAATAATAGTTTAGGTGTTAAAGCGACTTGCATGTTTTTCGTGAAGGAATCTGCTTAAGGTGGAAAACGTCATGCTCGGATCTGCTCGCAAAATGACTTCAGACGATGTTTTCTCCAAATGCATCGAGTTTATTAAGGGTATGTCACAAGAAATGTTTAATAAGTGCGTGTAAAAGCAGTTGGGAGAAAAGTAAATAAGTTGGTTGTCTTTTTTTGTCTCCCTGCCCCCTCCTTCCTTCTCTCCTCAGATCAACTATATTTTGCCATTCTTCAGCAAAAGATCAAAAGCACAGCTGACCGACACTGCTTCTGCATAGATGAAGAGCTCGCATATGAGAAGTAAGTGCTTTGCTTAGGATATTAAAGAGGTAATTATTGTTTTATAACAGGGCAAACATTTTAAAGGCAATATATCAACATTTCTCAATCAATTTGAATTGATTATTGAAATCAAGTGTTATGTGATAAGGAGGAGAAGAAATAAAGATTGATGCAGGTTAAAGTTAGCCAATAGTGATGACTTAGACTAGGAATTGTGAACTTTGGCATCTGTCCATAAAAGTGTCAGAAAAAAAAGAAGAAACAGATTAAATGTTGAATTTGAGTTCATACATTTCAGATTTATACTAGGAATGCTGCAGTTCGATAATTTATTATGGATATGGCTCAGATAAAGAGAAAAAAAGATGCTGATAAGTTGATTGTCAGTAAATAACATACAAAATGTTCTTCTAGCTAATATTCTCCTTAAAAAAAAAAAAAAGTGCTTCAAATGAAGACAGTTTGGGTGAAGGATCATCTGTTTTCAGAAGCCTAGCCAGAACATTTTAATAAGGGTGGCCAGGCAACAACCAATGTACACTGAGGGGTGGCCGAAAGTGGATAGGCACCGAAACCGCAGGGTCAATCTACACTGTTCCAAAAGGAAAATTAACAGGCGAAAAATCCATATTTTCTAAATAAAGACAAACAATACTTTCCCACAGCCTTTTCTAACAAAAAGAGGAATCTATTCCTATATCCATGCTTTCTAGATTAAAGGTATAGTGGATAAAATTCTTTCAGGTTTGAGTTTTGTGTGAACATCTTTTCCATCATCATTACTTACCTACTTTATCAGTAATTATTCTGCATAAAATTAATATTTACAAATAATAATATCTACATAAATTGATAATTTAATACATTTTTATTAACATTTTTATTTATCTATGATTTCACTGAAGACTCAAGACGACTTGCAGAGACGCATCATTTTCTCTTTACCCAATAAAACACAAAATCTAGTTCTGAAAAGAGCATGAATTCTGTATTTATCATCTTTAATAGATTATATATATATATATTATATATATATATATTTATATATTGATGTGCAGAATTAAACACTGTTTTTGTCGTTATGTAATTGATAATATATGAAAAATTTAAATGTTTTGCAGCCATCAATATTGGATGGAAATAAATGGTAGGGGTGGCCGCAGGGGTGACCAATGATTGGCTAAGGGTGGCCATGGCCACCCCTGGCCCCCCATCTAGCTTCGCACCTGTCCATTTTCCCTTTATATTTCTTCTATGCAGCTCACCCATGTCTTCCTAATAGTTTAAGCACTTAAAGCATATTTTTACAGCATAGGGTTACATTGTATTTTATTGGTCTGCCTCTCTGATTTAAACATAAAGATACCATGTCCTGTTGTTCTACAATACTTACTGTTTTTTTAATTTGCAGTTTTTTGGAGAGACCTCATATTAACCGTAGAAGGTTCCCCCTAATGCTGTATGAAATATTGTTTTGTTTTTTGTTTTATTTGTTTGTTTGTTTTTTTGAGAAAAGAAATGCGAAAGCATTATTTTTTACAGACTTTTTTACTTTTATAATTTTCCACAAGCATAAACATAAAATAGTTTGTCAGTTTAAAAGGGTCCTATTATTGACGACTCCAGGAATCAGACAGGTGATGTCTACTGTTTATTTATTTATTTATTTATTTTTTTTTCTATATATTTAATTTTTTTATTTGGGTTTTTTACTGTTTTTATCTTTTCTTCCATTATTTTTTGTGTTTATGTCTTCAATGTTATAAACTTTCTGTGTTTTTTCCTATGGGTTTGTCTTTTTGTATCATACCGTAAATACATACAAAGCATTTAATACCCAAATTATTATTAGGGACTTTATCATTATATCTACAGGTCCGCATGCCCCTTCGGAAATGGTTAAAATCTCACATGTAACTTCATAATTTGTAAATTAGCTATTTTCAGTCCCAGAGAGAACATGACTGATGAGAGGTTCGACCCAGTGCTACAAAAAAAAAAAGCAACCTTAACATTTTTGCATTTTGTCCTTCTCTAGCTGGACCACTTTATCTTCAAATGCTTCCAAATATAGTCATCACTCTCGTCAGTATTTTCACTGATTCGATCCGGTGAAGCTCCCACAGGGATGAATGCTGGCTGCATAAATAGCCGTTCTTACACTTTCTTTCTTCTCTTGTTTTCTCTCTCAGCTTCTATGCGGACTTTGGTCCCCTTAACCTGGCCATGTTTTATCGCTTCTCTTGTAAGCTGACAAAGAAGCTAAAGGTAAAGTAAACCACAGCAATAACCTGCTCTTCCTGGAAGAGGAGCCTGGAAAGGAAAACAGTGAACACTCAATAAACGTTAAGAATTGCAGAAAGCTGTGTAAATAGCAGATTTGTTGTGTTTTAGGGTTCTAGTTTTACCAGTTTTCTGCAGCAGTGCTTGTGTGCCAGCTTGTGATTGCACTGTTCCTATGTGTTCAGGAGAGTTACACCATATTTCTCTTTTATTCAATCATTTGCTTAGATATATTAACAACCACTTTCTTTATTTAGCTTTTCTATGAAGATAAGCAGACGGTAGAACTAGAATAAAAACTCTTCACATTAAGGAACTTTGGTTCAGGAATCTTTGTCTGCAGCTTTGCAAAATAACTGTGTTAGGGTGATAAAGTAGAGCACTTAAACCAAATAATTTACTCAGCTTTTTACTGTCTCCATGCCACACTCAGTCTAATTGATTTAACACCTTGTCTGCCTCTGTTTTTCATGGTTTTGCACAGTCAATCACACTGACAAAGAAGAGGATCATATTTTATACCTGCGGGGATCAGAAAAAACAAGCCAACGCTGCCTACCTAATAGGCTCATATGCTGTAAGTTCTGCACATAAACGAAAACTGAATGCATGTTCCAGGTAAACATGGAGAGTGTTTGATCAAATAGCGCTGTTTTTTTAGGTGATGCATCTAAATATGACACCAGAGGAAGCCTACAGCCTGCTGGTATCCAGGAATTCAACTTATCTGCCTTTCAGGTAACAAATCAACTTTGAGGTTGTCCTTCTAAGGCTAATTTCTCACTACTTGCTCTCAGTTGTGAGATCAAGGTTTATTTGAAAGTAAATTATTTAACCCTTTATAGGGCAAGTTACCATTTTTGATCACTTGCATACCACCCCTTACAAATGGAGTGACATTTCTTTTATTCTCAGAGTGTTTTTCATGAATTTCTTATAGAAGCACTTTTATTATTTTTCTTAAAATATACGAGCAACTTGGCCTTTCTTGTTATTACATTGGCATTCATTTATGCCATCAAAATATACATCTTTTTTGAACGTTACAAAGGTAATAAGGTCTTGTACTGGATTCCAATAACACACTACAAAAATTATCTATAAATTTGTGAAAATGTCTTAAAGTAAGTGTATTTACTAGGGATGCACAATATAATCGGCCACCTATCGGTATCGGCCTTAAAACTGAATATTGGACATCGGCCACCCCACCGATATTTAACCCGATATTTGATCAGCTTCTGAGTTTCTAAAGTCTAAAAAAAAAAATACTACTTCTTCTTCTTCATCAAAAACTTCTTTTTTACAGACTTAAAAACTTCTAAAGACGAGGGAAAAATATTGATACATTAAAATATCACAATATCTTCATATGCTGATATATTGCCATTTAAAAACACCATATCAATCTCTTTAACTAATGAAATATTGCTATAATTCATCGTTATGCTACGAAATCCCCCGAAAATTCACGAAATTTTGCCATATTTTTATATGTTGATATATTGACGCAGTATCGATCTATTTTACTAACAAAATCTCACAAGAATTTGCAAAATATCATGAGAGTTTGTAACAGAACGATGAAATTTCACGAGATTTTGAAAGTAAAATAGATCCATACCGCGTTTTTAAAAATCGATTTGATATCAGCATATGAAAATATGTTTGAGTATATTATTTTTCAAAGTGTCAGAAATGGATAACGAAACTGCTATTTTCAATGACTACTTATTTTTGTCCAGCTTTAACATCGGTATTGATATCGGTTATCGGCTACATGAGTTTTAAAATATCGGCATATTGGATATCGGCCAAAATCCCAATATCGTGCATTCCTAGTATTTACCCTTAATTTGAGTAGGTAAATAAGAAAATCTCCCAGTTGAAGGAGCATTTTTATCCTTTAAATCAGATTATTTGATATTATGCACTTGAAATAGGAGACTGCATTTTTCCCCCTTATTTTAAATCTAAATTTTCTTATTCCATTTGCAAAGTATCTCACTTACCTGCTCAGTTCAAGAAAAAATGCACTTATTAATGCACTTTTTTTTTTAAAGAAAAACTGACTTACTTAGATTTCAGTTCTTTGCAGTGTACTCTTTGCTTGAAATTTAGAGGTTTAAAGTCTTTCACTGAATTCCCTATAAAGGGTTAATACAAATGTTTTTTTCTGTGTGTGCTCATCTGTTTTTCTAAGTAGGGTTTGGGAATTGATTATATAATATAATAATTATTATATTGGCAAATTTTCTAATCACAGAGGCACATTTGGTCGCATTACATTTAGCAGGAGTAAAATACTGACTTTTTTACCGTAGCCCCTTGGGTGGCAGTAATGCCCTTAAAGTGGGTTTACTGCCACACAAGAGGGTGGAGAGAGTTGGAGCCTGCAAGCAGAACTATGTGTGTAGAATTAAGCACTTTTCCACACAACATTAACAGTTAAATCCTGCAATAATGGACTCTTGAAAGCTATGGTCATTAAATCAATGGATCCCCTGAAGTGAAACATCTGTTTGTGTGTAGAGCAAAGGCTAAATGGTTCAGCTGCATTTTAAAGTTACTTTAAACTTAAAAATGTATTGTTTCACCAGGGCTGCATCATACTGACATGAAATCACCATATAAAGAGTCCAAAAATGTAGAAAAAAAACTATTTTTAGTTCTTAAAAAGATCTAAATTTTAAATTTAACCGTAATTTTTAGCCTTAAAAAGTCTGGAATACTTCCAGATTGTTGGTGGTAGTTTGCAGATTTTTGTGTTCATTCCTTCCATATTTTATAGTTCTGATGAAGTTATTGAGGCGTTATTACCCTGTAAAAAAAAACAAACAAACAAAAGAACTACAAACCTCTTTGTAAATGGGAGCAATTATGTCTGTTAAAATGAACTTAATCCCCTCAGATTAAAAGTACCAATCAAGAAAGGGTGTGCAGGCATTTCTTTGTAATTGTGGCTTTATAATCCTCCAAAAACATTAATCCCTGGTAAATAAAAATCTTCCAAAATCTAGTGTAAAAATGTAGCCAAAAAAATGGGAAGCTTTAACTACAATTTTAAAGTATGTTTTTTTTGCAGAAATCCAATATACCTTGTCACAGAAAAAGGGACCACACCCACCCAAGTAAACATGGCGGTGGCAGTATGGTACTGAGTTGACCGGATTAGAGCGTTTGACAGATATGGAGACGTTCTACTGGGTAGAGTGTAATCTATTTGGGTTGATGGTAGACTCTGACCACTATAGCCTTATACCTGGAGTTTCTGGTCAGCACAGTATTAATTAAGGATTTTAACAGCTTTTTAGTGCTTTAACAGATTTGATTTGACATGTTGCTGATAAAATAGTTAATTTAATTCCTAGAGGAATTAGAGGCTGATGCGTTTTTTCTAGGCTTCATGTGAACAGAAAACAAGGGAAGACTATAATAAAAGCAGGGATCTGACATCACCTTTAGCATTAAAGCAGAGAGACGTTCTCATGACCAATAGTCCAAATGCTGCTTATCAGATCCGTCTCCTCACTTATTCTCTGCACTTCACAGAGATGCATCGTTTGGAACCTGCATGTACAATCTGGACATACTGGATTGCCTGCGAGGTGTTCACAAAGTATGGAAATAAACACATAGATTTTATGTGATCTGTTGCCATGGTGCCAATATAATTAAACTAGATCCCCTTCAACGTTCCTTTAGGCTCTACAGTACGGCTGGCTCGACTTCTCAAACTTTGATGTGGAAGAGTACGAGCATTACGAAAGGGCCGAGAACGGTGACTTCAACTGGATCATTCCTGGGAAGTTCCTGGCGTTCAGTGGGCCTCATCCAAAAAGCAAGATAGAAAATGGTGAATGTGGAGCCTTGTAGAGATTTCTCATATGCCAGCTAAAGACCTCCTGGATTTTAACACGCTTCTTTTCCTGCAGGATACCCTCTACATGCTCCTGAGGCCTACATCCCATACTTCCGAAAACACAACATCACGACAATCATCAGGCTCAACAAAAAGATGTACGATGCCAGGCGCTTCACGGACTCTGGCTTCGAGCATCATGACCTGTTCTTTGTGGACGGGAGCACGCCGAATGACACCATTGTTAAAAAGTTCCTCAACATCTGTGAGAATGCAGATGGAGTGATTGCCGTCCACTGCAAGGGTAAGAGTCCGACTCTGAAGCATCTTTATGTAGCTGGTCCGCTCTGCTTGATTCTTCTGACCATCATGCTTCTTCTTATTTGTCTCCAGCTGGCCTGGGAAGAACCGGTACGCTAATCGCTTGTTATATGATGAAACATTATGGCCTGACTGCAGCAGAGTCCATAGCATGGATACGGATCTGCCGACCAGGATCCATAATTGGACCCCAGCAGAACTTTGTAGAAGAGTAGGTGTTCACTCACAACTTTCCATTACTGATAGTTTGGTAATGAAGTAGATTTTAGGTTCACTGCAGAAAATGAAACAAATACAGAGTTTCTTTTCATTAAATGTGACTTGGAAGACTTGCAAACTGCAAGAAACATGGAACATGACACAACCGTGTTTGGAGAGGAAGATAAGTTAACCAACAATAAGAAGAAAAAGGATTTGTGCTTGCGAACCTTCCGCAAAACAATCCCGCCCCCTTGATAATCAACCAATCACATTCACTTTGTTCAATTGTGTAAAATCGGGCACCGCTCAGGAGAATTCAGATCTGCAACTGTTGGAACAGCCGTTTCCCTACGACTTTAAAGATTTACTTCTTCATTTGCACATATACAGAATTAAAACCGTTGTTTGAGGATCTCTAGTCAGCTCTATGAAAAAGTGGACTTCAGACTCTATCATTGACTCCGACTCCCCTTTAGGGCTCCTTTTTAATGGATTGAATGTTTTAAAACCATTGTAAATCAGTTTGTTAGTGCAGAGATCTTCAAAGAAGGTGCAAAGTGATTTGTGTTTACAGTTCAGCAGACGATGTGTGCAAACCATTTTTTGAATGTTTGCCACCATCATCATGCAGATCATAATTTAATGAATCAACTGCGCAAATTTATGTATGAAGGATATGTAAATGTAAATATTTACCAAGTGCAAAGTGATTTTTCCAAATCGGAAATGCAACTGCGGCTGCAGTTTTTTATCCTTTTTAGTATTTTGGAAAATGAGGTGCAAACTGAAACAAAAAATCTCTAGTCATTGTTGCCATAAAGATGGCATTGGTACAATCAGCAGACAAAGACAACTTTCACGTTTTATGTCAGTTTACTTTTTTTAATATTTAAATTCAGTTATTTTCAACATTCGATTTTTTTTACTTTTGTTTGTAGCGCTAAGAGATAGGCTTCCCATATAAGATGCTTTATAAATATTATTTAGTATTATAATTATCGTTTTAAGTAATTTTTAGCATTATTGCGTCCATCTCTGGCTTTGAACCTCATCTTTCCTTTACAGCCGCTTTCAAAATGCCTTTAGAACATGGTGTTTTCTCATTTTATTGGGTGGAGTTAAGTTGGTTTGGACATCTTAACATTTGCGCTGTAATCTGTAGATCATCCACAACACGCCCATTTATTGCACATACTAAAAAAAAATTACTTGTACAGTTTAGTGCCTGTTCTTGGAACCTTTGCAGATTAGTGTGCTTTCAGACAGACATTCGCTCTCACTTTGCCAGCAGATAAAGAGAGTGACCCTTGAAGGCAGGTGTGAAGGGTTCAAATTCCTTATTGACTGGTTTGTCAAGCTGAACTGGCCAATAGAGCGCTCTCAGCAGGTTCTATGAGAAGCCTCATAACAAAGTTTGGTTGTGGTTTGGCAAAAAGAATAAACTGCCAGTTGAGATCCGCTGTCAATTGACTCTCCAGAAAGCAGAACGGCCTCTGGGCACAGGGGGATGTTTTCCGGGAGAAGAAGCTGAATGAGAGGGAGAACGGGAAGACGGCTGTAACCAGGATCCTATCTGGGGTGGATGACATCACCATCAATGGCAGCAACAAGAACAGAGCATCCTGCAAGAAAGAAGAAAAAGAGCAAGTGAGTTTAGTTGTAATGCTTCTGTGGTGTTTAGGTTAAGATGTGATTGTGTAGCTTTGAGCGTCACAGTAGCACCGAGAGCAGCAGGAACGGATGTTGAATTTTCCTTTTTTTTCCAGTACGACGACGAAGATGAGAGGAACGGCCTGACGCAGGGGGATAAACTGCGAGCCCTGAAGAGCAAGAGGCAGGCCAGGTCTTCTACCGGTTCTCTATCGTAAGTACCAACGCAGTCAGCAGGCCCCATCATGCATCAAACCCTTATGTGTTGAAATAAGCAATCCTCCATATCAGACCATTTCATGTATACCCAGATGTTCAAACCATAAGTAGCTTATGCTTTGAAGACCAGAAAGTGACGTTTGTTGTCGTTTTAATTTACTTCATGACCATTTAGTTTGATAAGCTTCACTAGTTCCTCAGTCTTAGGATGCCGAGTTCCTAGTTGTGTGTTTTATGGGCGCAGCAACGCAGCAGTGATTCTTTAATATTACTTAACTGTATCAGTCCTTTAATGAGTGAGGAATAAGATAAATAATGTAACATGGAAGATGAAACTCAGATTGTATTATCTAGAGTTAAGGACACACAATCTTTTAGTTAAGACAGCTGTTTGTTAAAAGCTTGATTTAAGAAGGACAAACAGGTGTGGAAGTTGAGGACTTTTTAAAAAAATATTGACATTTTATTTATTTTTGTAAAGTTAGACTCTCAACGTTTAAAAGGCAAACAATGGTGATAAATATTTAATAGGCATTCCCGTCACCATGCTATTCTGTCAGAATCTTTATTATGTAAATAAATCTCCCATGTAGTGAAAAGGTGAGACTTTGAAATAATCTGTTTGGCTGAGAATACATTAATAGTTTAATATTTAGATAGAAAAGACTAGAAAGTTTGTTTTCTGCAGTCTGAGATGTTTAATTTGTGTTGCAGTTTTTTATTTTTCTAGCTTCCAGTTTTTACTTGTATTTTATTGTTATGGAGGACTTAGTGGTGACTGAAAAGGGACTTTTTTTCCTCACTCTTCTAAGTGTTTTTTTCTTTTTAACACATTGGTTGAATCCCAAACCTCCCCCTAAGCACTACCTGTTAAGCGTTCAGTGAAAAGTGGGATGGTCTCTTCCCTCCAAAGTAAAAAGGAAAGCAGTCGTTGCTATGGTGATGCATGATGTGAGTGGCTGTAGGTTTGTGGCGCAGGTTGACATGAGAAACATCTGCCCCTTTCTTAAAACAAGAGGACCTTCCCTTTTGGAATTAATTATATCTTTGTTCTTCTTTTCCTAACTGCTGATTTTATGTCAATGTGACAAAGATGGCGTACGCTCCACAGGAACGAGTAGACGAAGGGTTAGTGTTTAGGTTAGTGTTTAGGGGCTGATTTGGGAGGCTGAATCCCAACAAACATGGCATTGGTTTGATGTGACCTGCGCCACAGAGCTACAGCCACGCCCGTGTGTCACTGTGCTGCCAGCGGAATTACTGATTTCCCTTTCTGATGGAGGTGAAAGGCTGTCCCATTCACGTTTATGAGGTAGTTATGGGCCGCTACCTCCACTCGCCATGAGCCCTGGCATCTTAACCAGGTCCTGGCAGCAAAAACACCCCAACTGGTCAAAACTAATATTGCCACGAATTTCACATAACGGCCAAACACTGCATTCAAGTTAGGACTTAATATCAGGAAAATGTTAGTACATGTTGCAGTAATGTAATAGCTTTCTATAAATTAATTGACAATAAAAAAAAAGGGCTAAGTCGTCTTTCACTAATGATGCTTTAAACAAGCATCACCTAACAGGCATAGAGCCTGAATGGATTGCCGGTAATAATAGCAGTCCTTTCTCCTTATGCATTATTTATATAATGGATAAACTGTGATTTAATCCTAGCAGCCGTTTGTGACTGAGCTAACCTACAACTCATTTGGAGCTTGTTGTCTCTAACCATGCTGTTAAACACCAACAGGATCTATATCAGCAAATAGCTTCAAATACAGCCAGTCATTTCAGCTAATCAGTTGTGTTTACACGTAACCATTGGACTCATGCAGCTCCAAATGTTCTGCAAGATTTTCCACCAAGGCAACGATCCCAGTATCTCGAAATGCTCAAAACATAAAATGTAAAAAAAAATCAAATAAAACCTGATTTCTTACTTTTTTATGTCTTTAATTCGGAGAGTGTATTTTAATGATTTCTTTGCGGCTTAAGAATATGGAGTTTGTTTTTGAAAATTTTAATATTTAACACAAACTTCTCCCAGTAATAATGGTGATAGAGGGATATTCAGCTAAAAAGCAGGTTGTATCCTGTCATACTGACATGATCATACAACTTTTCCAAGCTGTTTAAGCGTTTCCCCACATTTGGATAATATCCTTGAATCCTCCAACTCCACATCATTTGTGGCCGTACAAATCAAGCTGTGGACGGATGGGTGTCAGCCGTGGCTGAGGATGGTTGACGGGCCTCTGCCCATGTACCCATATGGCTTTTGTTGTCCCATATCAGGCAGGTGGTAGTGTTCTGCTGCAGCCTCATGGGCACAGCGTGGCCAGTGTGTTGCCTGCCGTTCAAAAGGTAGCTGAGGGAGGCAGAGAGGGACAGTGGGGCAGAGGAAAGCAGAGGGAGAGAGGATGTGAGGTTTTGTATAAGGAGGTAAGTGCAGCTTACATCCTCTTCCTGTTGAGATGGTTGCTATGCCAATGAATGGTATGGCTGATCGTTTTGTTTTGTTTGACTTTTTTCCTTTTCTTTCTTTGGGTTACTATGGTGTGAAGTGGATATGCACTTTAGTGAATGTATAACATTTACACACTATCCACTGTCTGCCTCGTGGACGCACTGATATAAAGGCATACAGTTGCTTGCAAAGGGTTTGGAAGCCCTCGGACATTTGGATTTATTCCTGCACTTCGACACTTTACAGCTTCAGTGTATTTTATTGGGATTTTTTTAGAAGACGAGAACTAAAAATTTTTGCTCTTTTATTATACAAGATCTGAAAAGAGTGATGTGAATTTGTCTTTGGCTCTAATAAATCTAGTGTAACCAATCGCCTTCAGAAGTCATTGGATTCGTAAATACAGTCCAGTAGGGGATTATTTGATCTCAGGATAAATCTAGCTATTCTTTTAAAGCCTAATGTCTTTCTTAAAAATATTAGTTCCTTCTGCAGTTTGCCAACATGTGCCCTTTAGAAATTCTTTATGCAGGATTGGTAACAAAGCCATGAAGAGGACTTCATGGTAACCACAGATACATGGTAGGCAAGGCAACATAATGCTGTAGGGATACTTGTCCCTCAGTGAAAGTTTAGCTGGTCATCTGTTGGAATTAAGCAGCAGAACCTACAGTAGAAGCAAATAGAACATGTCTTTTTAGATGGCCTAGTCAAAGTCCAGACCTAGGTTCAGATAAAAAAAAAAGTCATAAAGTTCAAATTACCTATCTTACAAAGAATATGGAGACATTTTAGTCTCCAGGTGTGCAGAATTAGACTGAAGGCTGTAATTAAAGTAAAACATGTTTCTATAGTCCACTCTTTTTCATATGAATTCTGCTTGTGTCGATCTACCGCATAAGATCCCAATCTACTTTGCTGACGCCTGTGGTTTTAACGTGACAAAACGGCAAAACTGTTTAAGCCCTTTGCAAGGTACTGCATCCTAGATATCTTCTGTTGTTAAGGAAACCAATATTCTTTAAAACAGCAGCATCAGTTCAACTGATCACAGATTTAGAAAAGATCTGGATTGGCTGAATTCAAGGTTTTTGTCTTTTGCTTGCATTAGTGACTTGGCACTATATATATATAAACTTACAGTAAACACTTTAGCCTCGATTTGCTGCAGCTGTTTCATTTGATGGTAAATTGGGTCATTTTCCAGCTTTAAAGGTTTAGCTGTAGTTTTTTTTTTTAAAGCATTTCAATTATTTCAGGGTTGAGTTGGGTTTGCTGTATCATAAGGTTATTTTATTAAAAAGCTTTGTGCATGAACATCTGAGGAATAAAAGCTGATTTTTATCTTTATCAAAAGAAATGTGGGGAAAAATAGGAGAGTTTTGTTCTTTTTTAGGGGATATGATGTTTAGATTTACATGCTGCTATGCAAACATCTAATCCAGGGCTGAACTTTACCATCTGGCTTCACTATTTTTCATTTTCTAATGCATGTTAAAATACAGGGACTATTAGAAGAATGCTTATCTAAACTCTTCTCCATCCTCTCTGCCTTTTCCATGCATGACATAAAGCGCTAGACCCCTACAGACAGACTTGCATGCTCACGCCTCAGTCTCCACTGCTGTTTGTGTCAGACATGTCAGAATGTTTGGCTGGGATCATAGTCAGCGGCCTGCTGCTGTTTCTCCATTGTTTTCTGAGTGGATCGCCGTACACACACCACCTGAGCTGTTCACTCCTGCAGGTTTCCACCTCTGCCAGATTCTGTTGAAGCCGAACCTTTTTTATGACATTAAATTTGGTAAACCATACAACTGAAACCAGATAGTTACAGAAACTGTATAAAAAGACTCTGTTTGTTTTCTCTGTCTGACATTTCATCAGACTAAATCTGTCCTGTTTTTTTTTTTTTTTTTTTTTTAGGCCAGTTGCAATATTCCAAAGTAATTTTCAAAAACTTTAATTAAAGGTGCTGAGTCATATACTATTATAACTTTCTGAATGTACACACCACCAGTGGCTCTCTCTGGTTCCATACAAAGGCTTTCCAATTTTTTAATAGTGCCCTGTTGGCTTGTCGTATTTTATTTTTTTGTTTCAAATTTTATTTTTGGTCAGTTCTTTTTTCAAACTTAAGCATTTTGCATTTTTTCCATAACCAGACCAGGTGGCCCAGAGATACAGCAATGAGTAAATAGAGATGTAATTGAGGGAGACAAGCAAGTCAGCATTTCCCCAGTGGAGGAAAAGAGCAAAGTGCGAGGAAAGAGGAGGATTAGAAATCACACGATGGCCGTATTTCACAGGAGGGGCTGTAAACCATGTTTGATTGTTTCTTTTAACTATGTTTTTTTTTTTGTTTACTGTCGTAGATCGACGCTGTAATGCAAACTTACTTGTTTTTTTGCTGTTTTCACACATAAAATCCTTCCCTAAGTACATACCATCGTGAGGTTTCCCTTCACTTTAAAGGCAAATTCCCCATTTGCTAAGAAAATATATGAATGTTGAAAAACCAATTTTATGGTATTTATTAAAGCAAAATAGAGTTGTTAATCATAATTGAGCAGAGAAGATTTAGTGTGATTTAATGTCAGTGATTCAAATAAGGATCTTTTTATGCAGGGAATGTAAATATCTGGTTTCATCAATTGTTTAAGCTTTCACAAAGAAGTTTTGAGATTTTGATAGTCATTTTATATGAATGATTCCGTTTTCTTTTTCAACCTTTAGTCTTTTATAAGGGTGCAGATTTTTGTGGAACAATGTCTGAAATGTTAGAGACCGTCAGAACAAACTCCTTCAGTCTGGGACGGTTGGGTGCAAGACTTTGTGTTCCATCTAATCCAGTCCCAGTGGAAAAGTACACCATCAGAGGCTTTGTGTTCTGCCCAGACGTCTCTTGTCTCTCCTTCCTTTTTTCCCCCCCATTTGCTCTTGTTGTTGGATTTGTCCTCCTTTCAGATGGCTGGTAGCCATGCTGCTCTCCCTGTGTAGCCTTGCCCTGTGGTGGATTGTGTATGGCCTTCCTTCTTCCATCCTGCATTTCTGTATAGACGGGTTAGGATTTCTCTGAGTTCTGCCGCCCGTCAGCCCCCCCTCAAACCTCTCCTTCTGGAGCTCTAACTGAGAAATGCTGTAAGTGAGCCCCTGCTCTCTTTTAATATCCAACCCAAATCAGAAATTTGTTCAGAATCATCCTCTGCTTTTATTCTGTCGATTGTCAAGTTTTAAATCTGATCAGCAGAGCCAGTTTTCCTTTTAATCATCATACACTGATACTTTTTCCATGTCACCATTTTTCCCTTAAATTCTTAGACATTCCTACCAACCTACCATCTTTTAAAAAAAAACGTACTTTGCTGTTAATTGTGTTCGCTGTAAAACTGTTGGATCCTGTCTGTTTATGTTGCTCCATTGATCTATATCAAACACCTAACCTGCTTTTACTGACTTACTCTGCCTAATAAATGCAAGGCTGTGTTAAGTCTACAATCTACCGTAATTCGAATGCATTTCACTTATTTCTACCGACCTTTCTTCCTCCCGAACCCCAAATTAGTGATTTATTTCTGTCAGATCTAACCTACTAGATATTTATATTATGTTATTTGTCTTTGCAGGCATGAAGAGAACAAAATAAACACCAGGTCCTCTTCGCAGTCCCTGAGGTAAAATTTGCAGGGTTTGCCCGAAGTATAGACATAAACAATGCCGTCGACTAATAGAATCTGGTTTGTCTGTGTGTGCAGTGGGGTGATAATGCAGGATGGTGTTCAGGGCTGTAAGACCAGCATCAGCTCCCTGGCTCTATCCGATCGCTCAGACAGCAGGAAAAGAAGCAGAACCTCTCTGCCAGCTAACGGAGTAGGAGGAAGGTCAGTGGCTTTGTTTGAATATTAAGTTCATATTAACCAGAGTAAAGCATGATGAGAACTGAAAACATAATAAATGTCTTATTATTGATAGTTTAGGTTGGACTTTATCTGCTTTTTCTATGTGGCACTCACACAGATAAGGAGCAAATACAGAGGCTATAACCACTCATAAGGTGTTTTTCACTGTTTGTTAGGATTTTATGTTTACATTTCCTCTCATTTAAAACCCAAAACTTCTATGTGTTCTATTTTGATCAGGTGTGGCAGACCAGAAAAAATTAGTAAAATGTGAGGAAAAGAGTCCATAGTTCTCAGAAAGTTTTGCAAAAACAAATCAGAGTGAAATAGGCTGCAGTTCTGCTGCACCTTGCAATGAAATTACAGCTGCAGGTCCTCTGGGGGATTTTTTAATCAGCGGATATTTGCACACTAGTATAAACTCAGTCAGACTAAAATGAGAGCAGCTATGGGTAGCTTTTTGAAGATCAGCTACAGCTGTTCTGGAAAAGCTTGAGGTCTGGATGTTGACTGGATCATTCCGGTGAGACTATGCATTGATTAAAGGCCTGAACGCACCGAATCCAATTATCCGTCCGATCCGACAGAAAATCGGTCGGACAAGGTCGCGGCGTTTAACGCTCTTTGGGTATCAATAGTGATGATCACACCCGACAAGATTTTACGCTAGGCTAGGGGGCTTGCATAGCTACGACTGAGAGAGACCCCATCTCTATTTTAGTACTCTGCAATTCAGCTTTAATTTCATGGGTCTGGCAGAAAGAGAGACGCGGTTAAAAGTAGAACACATCCGCTTTGGGGGAAAATACCAAATAAAATCTGTTAATCCCATGGGGAAACATTCAAACATGGAGTCGCACATCGCGACAAGGAACAAGAAAAGAAACATTAAAAAAATGAATGCTTTACTCATGATAGGAATTCAGTAGGACAGAAAACAGCTCTATTGGGATCCTCTTTGAGCCTTGCAAAAAAACAAAATAATGAGGGGCAGACAGAGCAGGCAAGCGCGGCGTATCTCTCTAACCTTTGTGAAAAAAAAAAAACAAAGAACAACTTTGATAAATTTCACAGATCTCTCTCTGAGAATCACCTCTCACTGCCTCAGTCAGCTCATATACCCCCACTGTACGCCCCCTCCAGGCCTATAGTCTTTTCCAGTCTCTTAAGTTTTCTGTCTTTTATCTTTTTTGAGTAAGTTCAATTCCATTCCATGAGATGAACCATTTTGTGCTTTAACCAGACCCGTGAACTACTTGTCTCTCTTGTCTACAGAGATCAGAACAAGCAGCTTATTGTGCTGCAGCTCAGCATTGGAGTATTTATCAGAGGGTTAGAGGCCTGCACAGAGCAGCTGTTGGTGTCAAGGGGGACTAAATAGTACATCATCATACATTGTTGTCATGGATCTTTTCCTTCCACCTAACACTCATGTTCAACTTTGTACGTTTTATGGCATAAAGCCCAGTGACATGCATAGGATATTGTATTTAAATGTGATGGAGTTCAGATGACAAAAGTATGAACATTTCTGTGAGACACTGTAGAGTAAATTAACAGCTTTCCTTTTCTCTGCCAGCTCCCTGAGCCATACCGGGCTGGTCAGGTCCCTAGGCAACCTGCATGTAGTGGCTGGCAACAGCGACCCAATGTACTGTGAGCCATGTGGCAGCCATAGAGACACAGCCAGTGTCAGAGCCAACACAGGCACCTTCACCAACTTAAACGCAGCACAGGGACACCTGCAGGCAAGCTCCCTCAGACACACTCTGAGCCCAGTGGAGACTTGGGGCTGCAATTAAATGCAAAGAAAAACATTCTATTTTGGGAATTTTTCTGTAACAGACAGGAAAATATTTTAGCACCTCTTCAAAGGTTAAGGCGTTGAATTTATTTAGCATACAGGAATGTGCAGAAGGATTATGTGGCTCATTTGCAGGTTTGTGTTCAGTAACTCTCATTATTAAACTTTTCCTAATGATCACCATAATGCAGCTCTTCTAACCAGAACTTTTCGTATCTATATCATCTATATCCTCAGCAGAACCACAGGCTGATCCACTTCATGGTAGCTGCACTGATAGTGTAAAAAGGAATATTGAGAGCAAGTAGTGAAATACTTGTAATGCTCTAATATTCTTCTAATATTGAGTCACTGATTTTATTAGCTATGAGCTAATATTAGCCAAAGTAAAATAAATAAAACTTGCAATTTTTATTTGAATTGAGGAGACTCACATTTTGTACCGAATTACTTAAAGGAGCTAACTTCAGAGTAATGCTGGGATTTACAAAGATCTCTACACTAATTTACCAGCTTTTCTCTGGTTCCTGAAGATCTCTCTGCACTAATTTACCAGATTATTTCTAATTTATGGGGATTTCTCTGCATTAATTTACCAGATTATCTCTAGCTAATGGAGATCTCAGCACTCATTTACCAGATTATCTCTAGTTCATGGATATCTCTCTGCACTAATTTACCAGATTATTTCTAATTTATGGGGATTTCTCTGCATTAATTTACCAGATTATCTCTAGCCAATGGAGATCTCTGCACTAATTTACCAGATTATTTCTAATTTATGGGGATTTCTCTGCACAAATTTACCGGATTATCTCTAGCTAATGGAGATCTCTGAACTAATGTACCAGTTTATCTATTTCTCTATTCACGGATAACTGTCTTTAATGATTAAGCAGATCATCTTTTCTAATTTATGGGCGTTTCTCTGCACTAATTCACAAGATTATCTCTAATTTATGGAGATTTCTCTGAACTAATTCACTAGATTATCTCTACCTAATGGAGATCTCTGCACTAATTTACCAGATTGTCTCTAGTTCATGGATATCTCTGCACTTACTTACCAGATTATTTCTACTTTAAGGGGATTTCTCTGCATTAATTTACCAGATTATCTCTAGAATAGGAATTTTCTATTTTTTTGATTTTGTGGGATTTATTAAAACAGCTGTTTATATTGAGATTTTTTTTTACATCATACAGTTTACATAACCTGACATCTTTCTTACACACCTAAAATGTCCCATGCTTTTAATACATCTGCAAATGTGTCTCGTCTGCAACTTCTTGAATCTCCTCTTGCCTGTTCTTACAACAGTAGCATCTTTTAAATTATGACTGGCTATAGCTTTTCTGGACTTTGCTGCTCACTGTGTGGTCTGCCTGTGGTCGTTAGCCGCTCCTTAAGCTTATTTGGCATCCTTTATTTGTGCTCACCCTTTTCTCTCTGTCTTGCATGCAACAGACCTGCTGTGTCACGAGGACGTAAAGTTCGCAGCTCTTTGCAATCAAATAGATTTTCCAGACTATGGTATCAATCTTCTCATTCCTTTTGTAGTAGCTTTCTTTCATATAAATGTTTGATGTATATCTTTTTGTGAAATATTTTAATGACTGTTTTTTTTTTTTTCCTTTTAGTCACTCCATACCCAAAGCTAGAGCTCCTCTTCTCCGGTAAACCTGTTGATCTGTTAAAAAAAAAAGAAAAATCAGGATATCCAACATGAAACAAGTCTGCATGAATATTGATTTGAAGCGACCGTTTACTGCAGACAAACCTGGACGTTTTTGTTTGGGTATTTTTTAAACATGCAGCATAATTCATTTTTAAATCATGAGCTTGTTTTTTATTTACTGAATCATGCAGATGTCCGATTGAACCACAACCGGTGTATAATATGTAAATCTGAGAAATGATCCATGAAAAACTCTGACTCCAAGTAAAGTTGTACTGCCGCTCAGCATGTTTTGTACAAGGCCCGTCATTTGGCCAGCTTTTAAGCTCCTTTATTTCAAAGCTGTACATGTCAACAGTTATTACACGGTTTATATATTGTAAATATTTTGTACTGTTAAAAATCATGTGATTAAAAATGTCCTAATGGGGCATTTACTATTGATAATCCAAGAAAAATTATTTTCAATAAATTTGCTTCCAGATGAGTCTGGCTTTGTTTTTGCTCATGTTTAGAATGGACTGGATTCAAACAGAGCTTATTAGACACGGTCAATCCACAAGTAAAAGGTATTTTATTACTATTCTTCCAACATTTTTATCCTTATATTCTATGGTACTTAACTACGGTTAATGAGTTATGGTACCTAACTCTAATCTGGAGCATATTGCTTTTTAACCATACCAACAAAATTATTTTAAAAACTAAACTCATAAAACAGGCCTGGAGAAAAATGATGGTATGCTTAACTTACTATTTTGTGACAACCATTTGTGGCAATCACTGCAGTTACACAATTCCTGTAACTGTCGATCAAACTTCTGCTCCTCTCAGCAGGTATTTCGGTCCGCTCCTCATATGCAAACTGTTTCTGTTATCTTAGGGTTTGAAGGGCTGTCTTTTCCAGAGAGCATGTTTCAGCTCCTTCCAAAGAGGCTCAATTTAAGACAGGGCTCATAGGCCACTTCAGAATAGTCTAATACTCTCTTCTTAGCCATTATTGGGTGTTTTTAGTGATTTGGGTCGTTACCCTGAGACAACTGGGACCATGTTTTCTGACTCTAGGCAGCATATTTCGCTCTAGAGTCCCTTGGTAGTCTTCAGATTTTATTGTACAATGCAGAGATTCAGACACCCTGTCCCAGATAAAGCAAATTAGCACCAGAACATGCATGACAGACCTTCCACCATGTTTCACCGCAGGGACAGTTTTTTCTTGAGATGCTTCATTTTTCCGTCTACGAACATAGAGCCGATGTGCCTTGGTAAAATGTCGATAAGACATTGTCCCAGAAGCTTTGTGGCTTGTCCCCATATAGTTTGGCAAATTCTTGCCTGGCTGTTTTCATATTATGTCCTACTTGGTCATCTACCATTACATCCACTTTGGCTCCAATACTGATGGTTTGTACCGACATTGATGTTCCTTGAGCTTGAAGCTCATCTTCAATCTTTTTAGAAGTTTTTATGGTGTTTTGTTACCATTCATATTTTCCATCTCTGATTCGTTACCATTTGCTCCTGTGGTCACATCCAGAGGTCCCATGCATCTTAAACTTCTGTTTTAGCTGTACTTCCAATATGTGCAAATGTAGGCACAAAAATCAAGCTGCATGGAGATGTTCTTAAAGCCTTTCCAAAAAAGCTAAACAAACAGGCCTTTGTTTCCAAGTTTGAAGACATTTTGCTTCCCATCCAGGAAGCTTTTAAATTCAAAATTTCAGAATAGCGTTGAGCTCGAGGCATTATACAGTAGCTAACATGGGCTACCGTCTCAGGAATGACCGTGACCTGGATGACTAAGAATCTTCACCTGTATCTTATATCCTTAGACTTGAACATGAATGTCTATAATTCTCTTTTAATCTCCTTAAACAGCTCTTTCCTTCCCTTCTGTTCCATGGCGAGTATGGCACATATATGTCAAACAGCACAGTTACCCCCCGTAGCATTTATTTTGGCTCAATCCCAAACCACCCGCTAAGCACTACTCCTTAACTGTCAAGTGTAACTCCCAATGAAGTCAGACTTGCAGCTCTGGAGGGCAACTCAATTGAAGGTGGGGGTATAAATCAGAATACAACAGCCTCTTCCCTCCAACAGAAAAAGAAAGCAGTCGTTCCTATGGCGACAGTCGATCGCAGTGGCTTAGGTTTACATTACAAACTTCTTCCCCTTTTTAAAAAATGTTTACAGTCAAATAAAACCATTTCATAGTATTTGAAACCATTTCAGTATTTAATATAACGTCAGCATGTTTGACCATACAATCAGACCCGATTCAGTGGCACATCAGATGTTTGTAAAGAGCTGGTCAGGTGTGACAGCCAATCACACAAGAAAAGACTGGACCAATCAGGAGCTTGTGGGACTGTATAAACTCACGGAAGCAGGCTTCAATTTGAGCTGCGTTTTTCCACTTGGTCCTAGTGCTCAACCCATGTCTGTACTGTAGTATACATGCAGGGGACAAAATGGACGAAATGTTCCAGTCTATATGTCCAAGTGTGGCAGTGATAGCGTTCCCCCCCCCCCCCCCCCCACTTAGGTGTATGTACCAGCAGATAGAAAATTAACTTTGCAAAAGCTTTTATTGAACACAGTTATAAGTGCAGCAGAACCTCAAAAGAAACATGAACAGTTTTGTAGAAGGCAGTAGGTGAAATCCTTCATCGCCCTGCTGTTAGGGCTGGGAAGTCTTCTGGGTCATCAGGATTCGGCGCCATTCCATCCTCCTAATTGGGAAGAAGAAAAAAACTGCTTATTTTTAGGCAGCATAAAAATCAAATGTCAATGTTTTAATAACTACATATGAGATACAGAAGCCAGCTGATTGATGGAATTTACAACTTACCCTTTCAACAATGGGTGTGGGTCTTTCTGGGCGAATGCTTTGACCAACTCGTGCTCCTCTGCCACGGCCCCCACGGCTAGGACGTCCAAGAGTCCCGAAGTTTATATCCATGAGGGTGGTGATGTCATTCATGGACCTGCGAAGAAAGTTCCCCTCTTCCTCAACCTCCTCTACAGTCTCCTTCGCATTCTGAAAATTGAACACAAATGCAGCTGAACTTTGTTGGGGGAAAAGTCAATTTCTTATAGAATCCCCTCATAATATTTTATTTAATCTTTAAAAAGTATTAACTCAGATGACATAGCTGTATACAACAGCACATTTCTACACAAATGAAGCTCTATAACAGTAAGCCACTTGGATCAAATGGGAGCTTATGGTAACCTCTGGATGACCTAAAAAAAATATCTCAATATCTTAATAGTAGCAAGAACGATCATCTAATTGTACAAACCTGCATTAAGAAAGTACCAACCATTCAGTCCATATACAGAGTTTTTTTTTTATATGGTTGGGGTGTCAGCTTCATACAGCTAGGAAACTGTAGTTCTTATTTATATACAGTAACAACCTTTAACAAAAATCTTTTATTAAGTGCATTTCCATTCTACAGGAAAGTGGACTGAAGAACAAGCTTCATCCGAATTGCCACAATCTTTGTTGAAAGTCCAACCCTATACCCAAAAGCCACACAGACTAAATAAACCCTCATAAATTGTGGAGAATGCATCTATTGAGAGCTTTACCTTTTACTGAATCCTCAAACATATTTTTGTTCTCACCTCCAGGTACTTTGACTCGTGGATGACTTTTGCCTTTGAGGGAATCTTATCCTGAGCTTTGCGGATATTGAACTCTACTTTGGGACGGTTCACCTCCTGCATGGCCTTCCACTCATCCAAGCTCATCTCCATGGCAACCTGGACCACCACCTCATTGTCCTCATCCATTCCTCTGAAATGAGGCCAAACAACTTTAGTCCTATTTATCACTGTTTTTAATTGTCATAACGTTTGGTGTACAGTTCATGAAAGGAAGAACTTTTACATCTATGTGTTCCTTTTTTCCTTTTTTACTCACGGGTTTGCATTCTCCTCCACAGCTGACTGTTGCTCCTCAGTCTTGACTCCAGGATCAGTCATCACCTCCATCATCTCACTTCAGAAAATAACTTGCATTTATATTTATAAGACGACTGTCCTGAAGTACTAAAGTTTCTGTTTTGTGTCAAGTTAACTGACCTTACAGCTTCCACAGGACTGCCCCAGTTCCAAGGTCCCCTGCCTCCTCGCTTTTCATCTGAAGACATCCCTCTGCAACCAGAAAATTATAATCCACCATCTACAACTCACAGGCCTTCCTGGTTATCATGAAAGCGGACCCTTACGTTCCATCGTGCCGATCATATTCCCTCTTGCCTCTCAGATAAAATTGGTCAGAGTTTCTTGCGTAACCTCCACCTCTCGCTCCTCTTCGGCCTCTGAATCCCCCTCTGCTGCTGAAGTCTGAGGCTTCGTTATAGGAGGGCCTATAAACCACATGAACTGATTATTGGAGTTCTAGGATTTTACCCTCTGCTGTTGCATACGCCAAATAATTGACTTAAACAGTAGGAGCTGGTGAAAGGGCTCAATGCAAAGCTTCCCAACTTGTTCAGACCAATTCCAGAAACCTTAGAAAGACTAAATGACAGAGTAATAAAGAGGGAATCTGCTGCCTTTACACCCCGCACTGCTAAAATGACTCAACATGAATTTAAAAAAACATTAAAGACGGTTCCTTTATGTAAAATGTCATATTATAACCCTGTTAAATAAAGATATATAGATTAAGACGTTTCAGATTTTTAAGTTCTCATACTCTGGTATTTAAGTTTTCCCTGGTTTTGTTTTAACCACACCTTGACTAACTTAAATATTGCTGGATTACTATAAAGTAATTCCAATAAACATTAAAACTCTACCTTCATCCTAAAAAAACTCAATTCAAACAACAGACACACTGAAAACTTTGCCACTGAAAATTATGTAGAAGTTTTCTGGCCAATAGGCAAACATGAAACACGATAGAAATTTGTGATGATGCAACAAACAGCACAGCGACCATGTATAAACGTTGATCGTGAAGAAAAGAGCACAGGTAGCGGAGCAGAGTTTGTCAGAGTGGAGCACATTGCAGACAGGTTTAGAGATGGGCGGTGAGTGTTTAAAGGCTGCACAGTTCAGTGGCACAAAATGCCATCGAAACCCAAATGTCCCCCATCACCATTCTGAATGAGAAGAATGCAACCCAGAAGGAAACAGACAATAATGAAGTAGTTATCCCACCGATGATCCAGTGGATGGACAGGCTTTTATACATCCAATTTGAAACACCCCTTGCAGACTGAACATTTCCACAAACAGCAGCTACTAAATTCAAAGTCACTTAGAGCAGCACCACTGACAGGTTCAAGCAGGAAGATTTTAAGACTGAGAACTTCAACACTTGAAGAGACCCCACATGATGGGGATACGACAGTTTTGGTCAGAGCATTCTCTCCAACCACACTGCATTTGAACCAGTTTTACCTCTTGGCAAAAAGCAAAGAATGAACAGAGGATCAATATAAAATGAGAGATTGGCTTGATTTTACTTGCTGTGATTAATTGGCAAGAAAAAAAGAGAAATTATGTTCATGAGCCAGACAGAAATGTCTGATGACGTTCATGGATTTATACCAACAGCTCTGAAGGAGGAGCGATCACTGCTTGGATGCAGGTACCATCTCAGTCTGCTCTCATATCAGCTTCTCTGAATGGCGTGACATGCAGTGTCAAGCTGCAAAAGTTCAGATTTTTAAACTCCAGTATCTGATTGGAAGGTGCTCGACTCCAGGAACACCACACAGAATATTGAGCCAAGACAACCCAACACCTTAAAGTCCTAATAGTTTCACCAAGGAAAGTTAGTACAGATGGTAAATACGAGTCCAATAACATTGGGTCTAATGCAACAATATTTTCATATCGTCATACATTTCTTTACTTTTTTCTCCTACCATAGGCTCTTATGAAGATGCCACGTCAGATTCAACAAACTCTCCTAACTTCAGCAAATAATCCTCATAAACCTGATGCAATCGATCTGTGCACGTTAGCAGGCATGTTTTCGAGACATGAAAATCTCGATAAGAACTGCCCAAATAATGCCATATAAGCCTACAGCTTCCAACGCTTGTTCATTTACAGACACGGCATTGAAGACAAAGAAAAACTACTGCTTCGGAGATTAAGGAGCTCTGCAGACAGATGAGCTGCATAATTCAAGGACCAGTAAAAAACAAGCAGTGAGAAATAAATCATAAGAGCTTTCACTATTCCAGTGGGGGCTTTCCTTTGACTTCCATTCATTTGTAGGTGAATTCTAGAGTCTAACCTTGACCCTTAACCTAAACCTAACCATTACAAGTAAATTCCCAACCGTAACCTAAACTCATTTCACACCTTAGTCCTAAACCCAACACCCAACCCTAAATCAGCATTCATACACATGGGGACCAGACATTGGTCCTCACAAAGTGCTATGACTTATGGAAAATGGTCCCCACGATGTAAGAAATACACACCCATAACCACCTGGTATTTTATGCTCCATATTACATCTGGCATCCATCACACTCTCCGTCTCATACAATGCATAGTAAAAGTGTTTGCATCAAAATTCTAATTTGAGCAATTTAGACAGACCCAAACATATTTTATATAACAAGGCTAAAGATTTGCCATGGAGGGAAATCTATGCAAGTCTCAACATTAGAGTTTCAAGCACCAACATGTTACATAATTCATATTTCATTAAAAAAAAAAAAAAAAATCTTTGGCTATCAGATTATGATCTGAAGAAATAATCGGCAGATGAATCGATTTGCAAAATAATTGTTAGTTGCAGCTCTACTTGCAACAGTAAATAGGTAGTGCTTAGAAATCTGCCGATTTTCACCTAAGCGGTAACCAACCAGGTTGTTGATCATGTCAATTAGTTTTTCTGAGCAGATTTTAATCTTTCTAATGCACTTGGTCGGCGTTAGTTTTGATCAGAGAGTCCAACACAGATAAACGCCTCGCCCAGCCAGAGGTAAAGCATGACATTTTAAGCTCAGACAGAATTAGCGGGGAATCAGCATGAGAACCACCGGAAAAGTGCCATAACAAGTGGCCAGTGAGTTGTGGTTATTTATCCTAACGCATACTTGCTTACTAGCTTGCTCGTTTACAGCAGGTATCACTGTATGTAAGCTCAGTCAGAGGTACAGCAAAGCTCATCAATCTGAATGTTCAGGGTTAGTTATCTAAAAACTGCAGCTTAACTGGAAGCCTCCAGCATCTAAACAGCTAATTATTGAAATGTATCACAAAAACTGGCTTAAAGTCCCGTTACCTTTACTTTAAGCCTGTAGTAGTTCCCATGGCTGATGACTCAATATGCATATAACATTGAAATGCTTTTATCAACTCCATTTATGAACCAAGGAAAAAAAAAAGCAATTTAGAAATTTGACACAATATAAGCAGAGATGCGATCATCAAATAATCAGTCATTACATACTTTGGGATTGAGAACTCCAGCAGATCCTCTTTGTTCAGTCCCCGTTGGCCCCCAGTGCCTCTCTTTATGTTCCTCTGGGCCTCAACGCGACCTTCTCTGCCCTCCACCACCAATGCTGGAACTTCCTGTTGCTTTCGCCCTGAAGACAACAGAACTGGTAAGATGCAGGTACAGATACCAAATGTCTCAACCCAGATCATGGATTTACAGGCAAGTAAAATGTTTTCAGTTTCCTTTTCTGCTTGCACGATCGACGTTTCTGCGTGCTGGAAGTGCCCTTTGCCTTACAAAACCTCGCACCAATTCTGGATGTGCCATTGTCACAGCATCACAAGTTTCGGACGTCTTGTTTCAGTGGTAATGTCTTATGAGCTAAACTGAAAATGCACTTTTCAGTGAATTAGGTCATGCCAAATAGAACCTACATTTTTGGATAAAATTAATTATTTTGATATTTATTTAATGCATGCATTCCAAGTAACATTGGCCGGAGGTGGCTTCCTCAGGTGAGAGTCGTCTTACAGTTTTCATGTCACAGTGATGGATTTATGATCTGCAGTGCAGCGAGTATAGCAGCTCAGTAAACTTTAAAGAAGCTGCCTCAGTAGCAGAACCATTTAGAAGGAATGGCAGGTGGAATTACTTCAAATGGTGAGGGCTAACTGGAGGAAAATGATAGGAAAAGAAAAAAGCATTTCTTTGCAAATGAAGTAAAAAAAAAAAAAAAAAAAAAAAAAAAGCCCCTTACTACTACTTTATAATTGCATAGGATCGGGTCTCGAATTTATTCAGGCAAACCTATTAATGTTACGGAATTGCAAAGCTGACAAACTAGTGACTGCAGAGATCGCCATCACACCAAAATTTGACAACATGCACCATCAGTGGGCCCCCAAAATGTGTGTGCTCAGGGTCCTATAAAAACTTTGGACCGCCTCTGACAGTAACGGTTTTGGTCCAGGCAGTCTCTGCACAGAACCCTGTGGAAGAGATGAAGTAGAACAGCAGCCAAACAGCTCTGCTGACTTTGCATCATTAAAAGCTGACCCAGCTGGAGAAGACTGCACTCTCCACTCCCCCCAAAAGAAAAAAACAAAACCGAACAGCACCTGCCAGCCTAGAGCCGCCTCGTCTCCAGGGGCAGAGCTAGGAGGGAGTCCGAGCAGGGCCACCCATAGGCAATCAATCGCCTCACAAACCACGTGATTTGTTGTTCCCATTGAAACATGCTTTACAAACACAAGGTAGCAGCAGTGATACTCTCAGGCGGAATGCTCTCACTTGATGTTTCAGTAGTTAGTATTTTAAGATTAAAATGTCAACAAAATTAAATATTTATAGAAAAATACTCAAATTAAATAGAACATAGACAGACCATTCTTCCCAGAACTGGATTAGGTAGTTTGAAAGAATAAGGAAATGTTTATGTCCCTGCAGTCATCAAGTAATAGCTATAAAATTAACAGTAAAGAATCCCTACTCAACCCATTCAATGTGTATATGATGCAGAATCATAACCAGTCTAGACAACATGCATGTATAAATATGTTTAGATTCATTAAGGAGGGGGAATCTAATTATTCTATGTTGATTTACTTGTTGAATGAATCTCTTGCTTCATCATTTTCAGAGGTTTCAAGTACAAATACCTTGTTACTGTACTTAAGTACACTTTTTAGGTATCTATACTTTACTCCATTACTTATTTTTCTTCCTACTCTCACTTCTACTCATTACATTTTAACAAAAGTATCTGTACTTTCTATTTCATACATTTTTAAAACAAACGTTACTCGTTATTCTTGGCTTAAGTTTAATGTTTAAAAATATTTATTTCCCATCATGTGCTCCATCCAATGCAGATCACTGGCGCCATCCACATCTAGTGAAAATTAGTGTAACTGGATGAGTCGTATAACGCAAACACTCATTGGTTAGATAAAGGAAATCATCAGAAGCAAGCAGGTGTTCTTCAAACTGCAAACGTGAATTGTCTATGCCATGTTACAATGTGGGATTCAGATCAAATGTCTGAAAGGTCGGACACAGGCGAGAGTGTATCGGGTGATGTAGACCAACAAGACCTCCCTCATCCTTGGCCCTATCTCAATACATTTTTTCCAAATAGTCGAAAAATTGAGCTTTCAATTCATATAGTACCATCTGGCTGTTTTTTCTAAAGGTTACTTTATACTTCTATACTTTAAGTAGTTTTTGGAGCAGATACCTTTTCACTTTTACTTGAGTAAAGAGGTCAAGTTTATACTTCAACTTTTACCAGAGTGTTTTTAAACTGTAGTATATATGCTTCTACTTAAGTAACAAATGTGCTTACTTTTAACACCACTTCATTTTCCTATTGGCAGTGGTGGTAGGTAAAGTACATTTACTTGATTATTGTATTCAGGTACTTCTTTGTAAATAGTACTTATAACTTTCTCTCCGCTACATTTCAAAGTCAAATATACTAATTCCGCTACATTTCGTGGAAGCTGCTAGTTGCTTGCTCCTTTTGGCTCAGCTTAGCTTTGTACTCGGCTGTTGCCGTTTTCTTTCTTGACATAGAATTTAAGCATGCAAGACAGCAGCCATTAGGACCGCATTTGCTCGCCACTGTTTAAGAGATTTGCACGAAATTCCCCAGACATGAGAAACTAAGGGCAGATATTTGGAGTTAAGTTTTAGAAAGGCGTTAGTTGTTGCCATGTGGTCGAGTTGGTCAGTAGGATGACTTCTCAAATCGAAATTAAAACTATTCCATAGTGGAAGTGAAACCAAGACAATCATTTTTGGTGGTTTTTTAATTTTAAAAATTATCAAAATAGCGGTTTTTATTTTTTGTGGCCTTTTCATGCTGAATTTCTTTACAAAAGAATTTGTGGCTGTAGCTCTATAGCATCAATACTGCAGATGCTTCCTGAAAGTTACTTCAAATTACTCTAAAACAATCATACAGAAATGTACTGATATTAGAAAACTTTATATTTACTTTTGAATAAAAGTACTTTCAAAAGTGAGTACTTCATTACTTTAACTTGAGTAGATGTTTGATCAAGTAACTTTAACCTGTAGTAGAGTAAGATTTGACTACGAGTATCAATACTTTTACTAATGTGGAGTACTTCATGCACTAATGTCTATTGGTACAGTGTGAACACTGACCCTAAACTGGTTTTGGCAGCCTTCCGTTTTCATCCAGCCCTCAGTGCATCTTGTGGCGGTGAGGAGTCTCACCTGGAACCAGGTCCAGACCACTAGGAGCGACCGGGAGGCGTCTGTTCCTCTGGGATTCCTTCAGGCCGGCTTTCTTCTGCTTTCCTTTCTTGTCCTCCTCTTCCTTCTTCTTTTTCTTCTTCTTCTCCTTCTCCAGCTCCACCTCGCTCATCAGGTCAAACGGGTCAGCTTCGTCGTCCAGAAGATTCCCGAACCTGTTCGCCACGACGCATCCAAAGGCGTCCTGCAGCATCTTTATCCGCCTGTTTGGAAGAGGAATAAAAAATAAAAAAATAAAAAAAAATTGAAAAACGGATTCAATTATAAAACAAACAAAATAGTTGTGTAAGCACCGTTTCTCTGCACAATTAGCTACAGAAGCGAACCGCGGACAGAAACTCTCTGTTTATGGCACAGCTGCAGACTAAATGAGACCGAGCTGCTGTCCGGGAGTTTAAATGGATGCACGTGCGTCTGCCTCAGCACGCCTTCCAGCTCATTAATAGGCTGTCACTGATCGATATGTGGCTCTCAGCCCGCCCCAATCTGTGGACCGTTCTGTGCTTAGACAGGGGCGGAGCTAGATGGGGGGCCAGGGGCGGCCGTGGCCACCTTCAGCCAATCAGCGGCCACCCCTGTGCAGAAGCGTAGCCATAACATTTTAATAAGGGTGGCCAGGCAATAACCAATGTACACTGAGGGGGGCCGAAAGAGGATAGGCACCAGAACCTCAGAGTCAATCTATAGTGTTCCAACAGGAACATTAACGAGCATACATCCATATTTTCTAAATAAAGACAAACTACACTTTCCGAACGCCTTTGCTAACAAATAGATGCATATATTTAAACATCCATGCTTCTCAGATAAAAGGTATAGTGGATAAGATTGTTTCAGGTGTAAGTTCTGGAGCGAACATCTTTTCCATTGTCATTACTTACCTACTTTTATCAATAATCATTCTGCAAAAAAATGTATATCAACAAGTACTAATATCTACATAAGGCACATTTCCCCACTGTGAGATCAATAAAGTCATAAATTTATTATTTAATGTTTTTATCAAATATATTTAACTAAAGACTCCTAGATGACTTGCATCTTCTCATATATATATATACACCACAAAATCTAGTTCTAAATAGGGCTGAATACTGTACTTATCATCTTTAATGTTAGTATATTGATGTGCATAATAAACCACAGTGTTTTTGTTGCCAAGTAACTGTTAATGGTATATGAAAATGTCAATGTTTTGAACAGTCCACTTGAGAGTATTAGTGCTGCTACAATCTGTATCAGAGGGAAGAAAATGGTAGGGGTGGCCAACGATTGGCTGATGGTGGCAATGGCCACCCCTGGCCCCCCATCTAGCTCTGCCCCTGCCCCTGTGGCCACCCCTACCATTTTGTCCCTCTAATACAGACGGTGGCAGCAGTAATACTCTCAAATGGAATGTTCTGACTTATTTAACATTTTAATTCTTCATATATTAACAAGTACTTGACAACAAAAACCCCTGTGGTTAATGATGCTCATCAATATACTAACATTAAAGAAAATAAATACAGAATTCACGCTCTTTTCACAACTAGATTTTGCCTTATGGCGAAAAGAGAAAATTATGTCTCTGCAAGTCATTTCTGAGTCTACAGTGAAATCAGAGAGAAATAATTACTTTTAATAATAAGTGATCCATTAAATGTAGTTATAAGTACTTGTAAATATGAATTCTATGCAGAATGATTATTAATAAAAGTAGGTAAGTAATGATAATGAATAAGATGCTCGTCCCAAAACCTCACAGAATTTAGTCCACTACACCTTTAATTTAGACAGCATGGATGTTTAAATATAGGCGTCTATTTGTTAGCAAAGGCTGTAGGAAAGTATAGTTAGTCTTTATTTAGAAAATTTCATTAGTTATCCTGTTGAAACAGTGTGGATTGACTCTTAGATTCTGGCACTTATCCGCTTTCGGACACCCCTGAGTGTACATTGGTAACTGCCTGGCCACCCTTATTAAAATATTCTAGCTACGCCTCTGGGTACCAACCTGTCTGAATAAATAAAAAGTGTACAAAGTCAAACCTAAAATAAATATTGAGGACTTGGCTACAATTCAATTGTAGCCTTGTTAGTAATTTAGTATTTTGAAAGATACTTATATGTTTATACAACGATTAGTTTGATGGTTATTTTTAATATATATATATATATATATATATTAAAAATAACCATCAAACTAATCGATGGTTATTTTATATATATATATATATATATATATATATATTAAAAATAACCATCAAACTAATCGTTGTATAAACATATAAGTATCTTTCTATCCTAACTTAATTTGATAATTCTAATCCAATACTATGACTTACTTAAAAAAAAAAAAAAATATATATATATATATATATATATATATATATATATATATATATATATATATATATATATATATATATATATATTATTTTTTTTTTTTTTTTTTTAAGTAAGTCATAGTATTGGATTAGAATTATCAAATTAAGTTAGGATAAGGTGGCTAGCATGATCTAAAGGAAGATTGCTCTCGTGGCAGTGATTAAATAGACACCTGCCGCAAGAATGGACACTGTTAAGTGTGACTGATCATATTGATGTAAAGTTCGCTGGAAGAAAAAACATTGGTAGAAATGTGCATTTGAGGATTGTCAAGTAAAGCCCATCAGGGGAATAACAAAGCAAATACTGCTGCTGGACTCAGCGAAGCAAGACCCTCCCTCACAGATGTATGCAGGACACTGTTTGCAACCATACACATATGGGTGGTTCTAGACAGGGGCCAACAGGGGCCAGTGACCCTCTTAAACTGGCCCTGGACCCTGTTATGAAGACTACAAAACCTTAATTATAATATTTTTTTTTCCATCTTGAAATAAGATGATATACCCCTGATTAAAGCAGACAGGTAAACAATGAGCCAGTGGAATAAGATGATTTATGTTTAAAATAAGAAAAAATACATCATTATTATTTACCTTGACAAATTAAGGTACAATACAATTAGTTTTAAAGACATTTTTGCTTATTTCAAGATCAGTTTTTCCAGTCTAACACTAAATACGTCTGTTATGAAAGTATGGGCTGACAGAAGAGATCATAACAACTGATTCATTACTTGGACCGAGTCTTTCCTCAGCATATTACAAACCCTCTTTACCTTACTGAAATCTGGCGCCATCTAGTGGTCAGTGTGCAAACTGAAACTTGAAAGGTTCAGTTTAGGCAACTGAGCGTGTGGTTTTTCAAGAAGACGTTTAGCCTCTCATCCAAGAGGCTTCCTCAGTTCTAACTGATGGTGGGAAGCACTGAGATTAATAGACTGTCTTCTAGAAAACGTACGACTGCCTAAACTGAACTTTTCGAGTTTGGCCATGACCTAGATGAGCCATGACCTGGATGACTGAGAATCTTCACAGATAAAATATTTGATGTTGATTGTTGTTGATTATCTATCTATCTATCTATCTATCTATCTATCTATCTATCTATCTATCTATCTATCTATCTATCTATCTATCTATCTATCTATCTATCTATCTATCTATCTATCTATCTATCTATCTATCTATCTATCTATCTATCGCAATAATTAGTGCAATTTACCTTTTGTTACCCTGTGCAATATCTGTTTCTCTATATTTGACACCAAGTGCAATAACTATATATATATAAATATAATCTATCTGTCATCAGCCTGTCTGTGTAGTTTGCTCTATTTTATGAAATCCTTTGAAGTTGAAAAAGTCCTAAAAGGCTTTTTAAAAATGATTTTTTATTGAAAGTTACTATGCCACAGATGGTAAAACATCTAAGAAACTATAAAGTTTATGAACAGCAACAAGAATCTCTGGTGTAAACTCTGTTTAATGGTAGGTTTCAGTTTCTTCTAACACAGTTCATCCTTTGTCCATTTATATCCGCCCTAGAATGATTACGTAACTTTGGCGCCCCTGGGCCTTTCCGTTCCCTTTAAAGCCAAAAAAAAAAAACGAACAAAAACCGTGTAATAACATAAACAGACATCTCAGCGCGGGAAAGAGCCATCTGCCAGCTAAAAGTTAACCGCTCTTCACTCTTATTGGCTACTTTTCACGTTCTCCTTATCCTCATTGGCCAATATGGGTGTCAATTTACAAGAGCGCGCGACAGTTGTTTAAATTCCATTGGACAATAAAGGCTCTACGCAATGTGCGGACGACGCAGTGTTGTGGCCTGTGATTGGTTAAAGGCGCCGTTGAGTACAACGCTCCTATTGGCTACTGCTGGCAGTGTGGGAAGATTCCTGAAGGCCATTGGATTGGAGTCTGCTCAGGCGGGAGTTTGCAACGCGGGACGATACTTCAGAGGGCGACTGATGATTGTTCAGAGGAGCCGCTGCGGCTGAAGGGAAATCTTATAAACGCTCATTTTTTGGCAACCTTTAGGGAAAATATATATCTTTGTACCTCTATGGAAATGAAGGACATATTAATCCCAGATTGAAAAAGCGCCGTTTGGGACACTTTTTTTTTTTGTAAGAAAACGGAAACTTATTTCTTTCTTTGATATTCTAGGCACTTGTACAACTATTTAAAATAGAATGGCCGATAGCAAGCATCCGCACGTCATCTTCTGCAACGACTCACCCCAAAGGGTTTTGGTATCTGTCATCAAGACTCCGATCAAACCCAGAAAACCGGAGAGCCTGACTCCGACCAGCCCGGGCTTCAGCGACTTCATGGTCTACCCCTGGAAGTGGGGGGAGAACGCCCACAATGTGACCCTGAGTCCGGGCTCAGGGAGCGGGGCCGCTTCCCCAACTGGGTCCCAAACAGCCACGGAGGCGGACAGCGCTGCTTCCCCGGACCAGATCAAGGTAAACAGATCTGAAACATCTAACAGAACCCGACACAATGCTTAGGTTGAATCAACTACTTAATATTAGAGCTCAACTTTTACAAATTACTCTTATTATCATTAATTAATTAATAACACTAATTAACTACTCATTATTTATACATGTATCTGTCAGGCATGCAAAAATCAACATCTTAAGAGATATATTAAACTTGGATATGTTCTGCTGATCGATAAAGATGGGGAGTCATTTAAAAAGTAGAAAAAAACGCCCGCGCTTTGGGTGTGACAGTATGGATTTTAAACCCTGCAGCTGCTCTTAAAGATGACGTGTAGCCGCGCGCCAAAAATGTAACCGGAAATGAATGAGCTACAATGAAACCTTTATTACACGTGAGATTAAAGACATCAGAAGCAACGTGGTGGAGTGGAAATAAACATCCACAACCCATCTCTCTTTGCTTTTGTGATATGGACTCTTATAGAATTGCATTTTAATATTCCACCACTGCAATTTTTCTGTTTTTATTTTTAATTTTTATTATTATTCCCTGGTGAAGGAAATGACAACCTGCTTTGTGCAGAAACATCTGTTAGTCTGTACATTTAATAAGATGGGAATAGAACCACCCCTTAAATAAAAATGTTTATGATAACATTGTAAATAAACATTACTTTAGCTAGAAATTGAGATCCAGGATAATTTTTTTAGGTTCATAACTATAGATTACAATGTATATCAATAGAGAACCATAAAATGAATGGAACGTCAAAGCCTATATTATAATTTTAAGAGTTTTTTGGAAGACTTATTAAGCTTAGTTGTATATAGTCTTGAATTGTTTTGCAGGTATCTAGAATTAATTTTTCCAGTCTAGCCATCCTTTAAATCCAATCACATCAGATGCAGCTCAATCCTAATTACACACAATTACTGAAATTCAGAAGATCTTGTATTGCCAGTTGTTAAAGAATAGTTAACTGTGCAGGGAAGTAAAGCGACAGTGGGAAGGAATGACTGCATTTAAACGGCCAGGACCCTCCAGTAAAAAAAAAAGCAGACATAAGACTAGAGGTTGAGGGCATGCAGAAATAAAATGAAAAAGAAATACAGAATAGTTTCAGGACTATTTTCCATGGAAAAGTGAAAGTGTAAAAAGAGTTAAAGGCAGCAGTAGCTCAATTACAAGCCAGCAGTATTTGTTAAAGGCTGCCATTATAACAGTTATTTGGAGCCATTTGTTTCTGTTTTTGACACCTTCGAGGTCTAAAACACAAACACTGGGACATTTGACCTAATTTAAAATCCATGCACACTGTTATGGTACTGGTCTGTGGAAATTAGCTTTAGCCACCTTTGTCTCTGCTAATATCCGTCTATGTCTGGTTGTCAGGACGGTATCCGCAGAGGCCGGCCTCGAGCAGACACAGTCCGGGAGCTGATAAGTGAAGGCGAGACCTCCTCCAGCCGCATCCGATGCAACATCTGCAACAGGGTGTTCCCCAGAGAGAAGTCACTGCAGGCTCATAAGCGAACACACACAGGTGAGAGTGTGAGATACACGGCGGGGGGTGAAGATGCAAGACAAAACTGATGAGAGGATGCAGAACCTGGCTGGATTTACAGAGCTTTTCTGGTCATAATGACCACTGCTAACTTTCTACAGTTTAGCCAGATACATCCAGCCACACTCACTGGGAATAGCAAAGGAAATGTTTACTGGCAGGACGAAATATCTGATCTATGCATCTTTATTCATTTAATATATTCTATACATTCTATATAGAGATAACATAAGGTTGCTGAAAAGCCCTGTGCTGCTAGACTGGGAGCAAACCAAGTGTCTTTAATTCAGGATCTTTTAAAGGTGAAATGACAATAAAACAGAGCAAATGTTAATATCTAAAAAAAAAAATCGCTTGAAAACATTGTTTAACCTTGAAAACTACCTGGAAGCTTTTTTCCTACAGTGTATTTCTAGTATATTCCTCTATTTACCTGCTTTGTGTAAATAGGAATGTGTGTTTGTACTCAAAAGTATCCCCCTATCCATCCAGGAGAGAGACCCTATCTGTGCGACTTCCCAAACTGCGGGAAGGCGTTTGTCCAGAGCGGTCAGCTGAAGACTCACCAGCGGCTGCACACCGGGGAGAAACCATTCGTCTGCTCAGAGAAAGGTGCGCCAGACATGCTTAGAAAAACAAAACAACTTAATCATCAGTTCTGTCAAATCAAACCCAGACCTTTTCTTACTTTCACTTTTAGTCACCTTTAGGTACTTTTCAGTAGGGGGGGGGTTCATTTGGAGTGTTTGGAAAGTACCCGAAAACACAGCATGAGTAGATGCACTGCGTCTGATTAAAAAACAGAGATCTGCTTTATTTACCACTTTTACCAACTGAAAGAACCATGCATGGGTTTTAGATGTTTCGGCTGATCCCCGTTTTTCTGTGCAGGTTGTGGCAGTCGTTTCACTCACGCCAACCGTCACTGCCCCAAGCATCCTTTCTCACGTCTCAACAGAGAGGAACCGAAGGCGGGTCTGGGAAAGGCTCAGTCTGTGGATAACAAGGCCGTGGCAGAGTGGCTAGCTAAGTAAGTAAACGCCCACTAGAGAAGCAGAGCTGAAAAACTTTTGATGTTGTTATCATCCTGTTTTGATTTCTTTCTTTGGACAAATTGGATGGAGTAAAATTATAATTATATTAAATGTATATCTTTTAAAAAAAAAACAAAAAAACAACAGCAATGCTGGTGTTGCCAGTTTTTATTTATTTATATATATATATATATATATATATATATATATATATATATATATATATATATATATATATATATATATATATATATATATATATATATATATATATATAAAAAAAAATTATGAAAAAATGGCTCTTTCTGCTAGTAAATTAATAATTAGAGTCAGATGACAACATTAGGATAGGCTATGACAATGTTGTATATGGTTGGGAAATAGTGTCTGGCTGTATTTTCTTCAAGAATATCTAAATTCTATTCTATTTTTCAAATTCAGTAAAAACAAAAAGAAAGGAAGCAAATCTTTTTGGTCAGCTGTCTCACAAAAAAATTTTTCTACATATGAGACAACTGACAGATGAGATGAACACCCTCCTTTATCTCTCAGGTACTGGCAAACCCGCGAGCAGCGTGCCCCTACAACTACCAAGATGAAGCCGCAGGGCAAGGCGAGGCTGGAGGACCAAGAGCAGCACGATCCCATGGGGTTTCTGCATTCTGACGAGGAGAACGGAGACGAGCAGGAGGCCATCGAGGAGGAGAAGGGTAATCCGGGCGGTGCAGCCAGGCGACGCCTTCAGGAGCAGAGGGAGCGTCTCCACGGTGCTCTGGCCCTCATTGAGCTGGCCAACAACCTGTCTGCTTGAAGTCCCCCCCACCCCACCCAGGACTCTCCCAACCTTCTCTAATCGCCTTCCTGCAGTTATGTGCTGTAGCTAAACGTTCTTCATAAACGCAGATCAACGCCTAGTTTAGTTTACTTTATAAAGTTGTAAAACCAGACTTTGAGAAAGAAGCTGACTTGGCCTGAGATCAGTGTTAAAGCACAGAATCCCCCCCCCCATCAGCACCAGGAAGGCACAAGCTAAAGCACCTTACTCAGCTTCCATTTTAACCTTTTGGCTGCTATAAATGTAGGTTTTACAACATGAAGAATGTCTCTTTCCTGCCTTCTAAAGGCACAGAAAGAATACCTATTGTTTTAATTTGATTTTGTTTGCACTTTGGTAACGAGTTATTTTCTTTTCTTTTTTTTTAAAGTATATTGTGGGAAAAAAAGTGTATGACTGATATGTGTGTAAATATGTGTGGATTAAGCTCAGATGGACAGAAAGACACAGGGTGTGTTCACTGGTCCAACCGTCAGATGCCCTTAAAGAACAGAGAAAGCTGAAGTGAAATGGTTTAAGCCGCGCTGTTACTACCCTGTTCACCAAACCTGGATGCGTTACCGAGCACACGAGAAGCAATCATTGCAAGCCTAATCCAGAAGTCTGGTCATGCAAAAAGCTTGTTTATAACCAACAAAAAGAAACTAGCCCCCTGGTCTGTTAATGTTGCCATTCTTTGCTAAGCCAGCCAAGTAGTTCCTGTTTTCTGGACTTGATTCATGCATATTCTGATTGTTATCAACGCTGGTTTCCTTGTCACAAATAGGCATGGGCCAATTACCAACAGTTTGAAACACATAAGAGTTTGCTCCAGTTGTGTGGATTATAGAGTAAGGCAGATCTGCTGTGCACTGTACATCAGCTGGCTCAAAGATTTTTTTTTCCTCAGCCAGAAGACAAGCTAATTGTAAAAAAATAACCATCCAGTGTTATCTCTGCCTGAAGCTGCACATTGCTGCTCAGCAGCTTAAAGAAAAGACCCCCTGTTGTTTAAAAGAAAGGCTTTTATAGTCCTATCGGGTTTAGAGGACACTGAGTTAAAGCTATAGTAGGGTTCAGCTGAACATAGATTATGGATTTATGTAAACTGGCTGATAGAAGGTGACATCACGTGGTTTTCCCTACTATGATAAAGGCAAGCCAGAGCACAGCTTGATCAGATGACGTTAACTTTTACCGCTTCCTACTACAAAAACGCTTCCTACTGTACTGACAAAAAGGGACGGCAGAAAAAGGGATAAAAAAGCACTTAAACTTCAGACCTCTAGTTAATATTCTCTTATGTCTGCGTAGAATCCATGGTAATGTTACCATGTTTTCCCTAATTAAATAAACTGGATCTTATTCCACATTTGACGTATTTAGTCCCCATACAATTGTAGATGGAATAAAAATTGGCCCATGCCTAAACACAAGGTAAAGCTGGTGGCACAAAGTTGTTTTGTTTTTTTTTCTCTAGGATGGCTCGTCATCTTTTATATTAAAAGCTGAGAGACCAGATGTGATGCTGACACGGCATGGAAACGGCGTGCTTATTCAGTCTAATTTTAACTTTTTTGTATTTATTTAACCTTTTCTTTCTTTTAGACTGACATTGTGATCCTATCTTTGAGTGCTGGAATCATTATTTAATCGTGTGACAAATAAATCCAAACTTTGTAAAGCATCAATGTCATTAAAAGCGCCGGCTGTAGAGGTTGGATTAAGCTTGCAATGCAGTTAAGGTTTGATTTCATCGTTGGTATAGGAAAGTGAGTTTTGTTTTCTTTTTCTAAAGAAAGTGTTGCTGGGGTGATATTTGGATTGATTTCAACTTTATTTTCTTTCTGGAATGCGACACTACATCTTTGAACACTGTAAGAAGCCCCCATCGATGAAAACCCTCATGCTAGCTGTGCTCTTTTAATCTGGCTTACAAATTACCTTTTAAAGAGGCAAAGTAATAATCCCAGAAGAAGATTAAACCAAATTAATTAATAATCCAAATTTTATTCTACTTGGTAGCGCCTCAACCCCCTAGTGTATTTTTCTGGTTTGAGTAAATTAAGGCATTTAATATATATATAAAATATAGCGTTTTTTTAGTAAACAACATGAGTATGCACACTATTTACAGAAAGCTTTGAAGTTTTAATTTTAGATTTTTTGCTTCAGCTAAACTCCTTCAGCAGTGTTGATTATTGACAGTATAGAGGGATCCTGCTTGCTGGTAGATGTTTGTATTTCCATGTAAACATGAGATTTCTCTGACAGGCTGTCCACACTGTTCTCTCATAGGTGATCATCAATAAACATTCACTGAATCCGACACGTTTGTGGCATTTCTTATTTATTTTGGTTTTAGTTTAAAATCTGGATTAAATAGCATTAGAATTAGAGGTTAATAGATTTATTTTTACAAAAAGAGAAACAATGAAGTGCTAAATTTTGAAAATGCTTCAATATGAAGCAGGATAACGCCACCTAGTGGTTTGTGTTTTTATCTTTGGCTCAGTTTCTTTGATAGATCCTCAGTAATGGGAATCTTCTGCTCTTGTGTTTCCTCTGGGTTGTTTCCAGGTGGCTGACTGCTGTTGAAGGTGAGGAATGAGTAAGCCAGTCCTCCTGACATGCTGCAGAAAAAAAGAAATGATCAGTGTGTGTTCTGAGGGGTGTATAATGTCCACATAGTCTTGAAATGTTTGCGATTATACTTTGATTCTGAGAAACTGCAAGTAATGCTTTAATTATAGGATATATTTTAAAGAAGATACTTTCTGTTAAAAAAAACAAACTGCTTTTTATATATTGATTGATACCTTTATCTTTTATTTTTCTTTCTCACCACTTTTAGCTCCTGTCAAACTAATTTCTTTATGACTGCTCAGAGCTCTGAGAACATTTTAAAAATGGTGCATATTAGGCTCTCAGCAAGGCAGGTTAATGTAGACAAACTTTTAAAATATACCTGTTAATGTAAAGATTTTTACTGATAAATATTGCTGAAAACAAACCAAACTACAACATATTTTCTTGTTCTCACCACTAACTTTCAGTGTTTTTTAGACCACACAACGATCTACCACTTAATATATTAACGCTTTTCATGCAAGCAGGATGGATATCATATAGTAGTTAATGAAAACAGTGTAAAAATGTTTTTTAGCCTATACAAGAGCAATTTTAATTAAAAAAAATAAACAATTGTATGTTTTTTGCAGGAGGAACTTTATTTAGATTATTAAGAGATCTGTTTTACTCACATGAGATCATTTATAAGAAAATACTTTTCATTTCCATGGCCCATTAATACTTATACTTAATACTTATGGAAGCCCATCAGTGCCCCTGTCATGAAAAAAAGAGCTTAAATCTCATAATAATGACTTTGCAAGCTAATTATTATTAGATAAAAGTTTGTTTTTTTCTATGAGACAAGTGGAAATAGGATTCCACATCAATGTAACAATTTGTGACATTTGGAAAAAATTTTCAAGCAGCTTTTCAACTCCATAAAACAGAGTTTAAACCTGGAAATCTGATGCTTAAAATCAGCATTTAAATGTGATCATTCAAACTAAGAAAATATGTCCGAAAATGTAAAATTCATCAAGATGGGGAATCAATGCAAGATCATGCTTTATATGGGTGGTGCTATTCAAAGTGTCATTCAGTATTTACACAAAAATAAAGATAAAATAGCCAAGAAAAAACAAAGATCAATCCTCACCAAATGCTGAGTCCGAGGAAGTTAGTCCAGGAGAACAGGTAGTCTCCACCTACAAAGATGCCGACATAAGCTACGGCTACATTCTGACAGGAGGAGAAATCAAAAGTTACAAGCAGTCTGTAAATATTTAAGCCACGCAATAATTAGGAAACAAGAAAAACCGGAAAGTTAAGCTCCGAGTAGGGGTTTGTAGGACAAGAACACAGCTGCAGATCTCAGTTTTCCTGCTTTGTGTGAGGTGTTTCATTTTTTTCATGTTTTTAAAGGACTCGTCAGATGGCTCTTACCTTTATGGCCCCCACAACAGTGGTTGTAAGTGCTGAGTTATAATAGCTGCAGAGGACTATTGAGTACATCAATAGAAATCTGATGAGAAAAACAGAAAAGGTGAAAAGAATCCCATAATAATTGGTCAGAATGTGGTGTTGGGTTGGTGTGACATACCCCATGAAGCAGGACAAAAGAAAACATACGATAAATATAATGTTGTTCCAGTCCTTAAATGATAATGCCTGAGGGTAAAACACAAGGCCAGATAAGCAAAAGACTTCCAGCTTTGGACTGCAAAAACAACCCTGCAGAGCGTATGCTTTAACCTTGTGTAAATCTCCAATGAATGCACTGGCCAAGATGGTGGGTAAGACGATGATCAGTGAATTGTAAAATAGGACACCATACTTCCCAAGGCCCTGTGTACACACAGAGCAGAAGATAAGCTAAAAAAAATAGTTTTTAATACCCAGTTAGATTTTTTTAAGTGCTAAAATACACGATTCAAAACAGCTTTAATTTAAACACAAAGTTTACTCCAAAAAAAAATAGACAGACGCTCCTACAAACACAAAAACATTATTAACTCTATCTAAAATATTTTATTCATTCTTTTTAATTGCATCAAATAAATATTTATACTTTCTTCATAGTCTTAAGGATTTACAGCAATTAAACCACACCGTTTCCAGATATTACCTGAAAATCTGATTTACACCCTTTAACAGGAACTGACTTCTGTAGCCAGATGAACATTGTCACATTTTTCTGAGTTTCAGGTACTGTTCATTTGCAGGTGGTAAATGATTTTCTGAACATACTCCACCACCACATCCTATGACAATAAAAGCAGCCAAAGTCCAATGGAAAAAAATGACAGGCACTAGAAAAAACCCTAGAAGACTAATGATCACAAATATTCTAGAAGATCAAAAAAAGAATCAGACTCCTTCAAATCAATTGATTTGTCTGTCCTAAACTGTAGATTTGAGAATATTTGAAATGGAATAATGTTATTATAAATAAGCTGCAGTTTCGGTTTGCTTAGGATAAAAAAAGTGCATTATAATTCACAAAAAATTACAAAAAAAAAGAACATCACATCTAAATAGTATCTGGTGGTGTAACCACTATATAGGATGTGCACTAATGCTACCTGATCACCAAGTTTTTTCTTTGTGTAAACACCAGTGGCTGCAGTGAAGGCATCATTCAGCAGGATGAAGGTGTAGGCCTCCACGTCAAAGGCCAGATCAGAACTGAAATGGTTGAAAAGATTACAAAAAAGGCAAAAAATCGACACAATAACCACACTACAATCATCCAATATTCAGAAATAAAATCAATTTGAAAAAAAAAAATAATAATCTGACCTTGCAGCCACCATGGCCCCAAAGACTATTGTCACAACACTGCAAATGATACGTCTTGGAAATGTTTTTCTAAAAGGAAAAGAATAGGGAGCTCAAATAAAAAAAAGCAGAAGAAATAATGATTTAAGAATTCAGGGAGTTCTTACCTTAACAAATAAGCTTCCAGGATCATTGTCATCAGTATGGTGAATTTCCGCAAGACTGTAAACATGGGTAAACTGTAAGAGAGCTGTTCGTTAGTCATCATAGTGTGCTAAGGTTCAGCAGATGTCAAATCTGAGGTATCCTGCATGTGAGGCAGGAGAGACCTGAGTTTTTTGGTGCTCGCCAGTCCTGTTACATGGTTTCCAACATACAGCAAGGGAAGAGGGAAGATCTGTCAAAAAAAACAAAACATAAATATATGTATATATAAAATGATTTATAGATACTATCCAGATGTTTTCTTCAACAGCATTGATAAAGTGAGGTAATGAGGTATAGATTCTAATACAGGATTTCACTGAATTATGGTGTCATATAAACTTCTGCAAACTTCCCTAACGTCCCCCAACCCAAAGCCCTGGTGAATGATTCTGTGTGATGGTATCTTTAAAACCTCTTGTGCTATATATCTGTATTTTTTATGCTTATTCGTCACTTCTGAAAGCAATAAATTCTGCACTGTAGGAGTAAATCCTTCAAAAATCTTTACTGCTGTAGAGTAGAGAGCATGTAGTTTAATCTCATCCCAGATTCATAGCACCAGTAGTGGAGAGTGATCTAGTGGCTTTGCAGAAATCTCACTGGCTAGTCTATTATTGGGGGGTTTGATTTATGGTGGATGATTGTTGAGGGTTTTTCAGTTAGGGAAAGGTGACGTGAACAATGAGTTTCTCCATTTGCATGAATGCCTTGGTAGATTTTTAAATCTGCTTTAAACCTTTTCCTTGTTGGAGAATGAACAAACTAGTGAGAAAGGCTGTTTCTGTCCTAGGCTGCGCTCTGGACTGAGTGGAGGAAGTAGCTAAGAGGAGGGTGCTGTCCAAGCTTGCATCCATCTTGAACAACACCTTCCACCCTCTTCACCAGACTTTAGAGGAGCTGAGCAGCTCCCTTAGTGAAAGACTTGTACACCCTGTTTGTAAAAAGTAGCGCTACTGCAGGTCATTCATCCCTGCTGCCATCACTCTGCAATGCGTAACTACAACAGCAATAACCTGTGCAATGTGTAATGTGCAATAACTATTTGATACCCAGTGCAATAATCTAGTATAATGATCCTACTATAAAAAATAAAATAAAAAAGCTGTCATATGTGGACCGTATATACGTATATCCCATGCACTTTTTTCTTCCTTTGGCACCTTCTTCTTTGAATATTTTACCTGATGTAAAGAGTAAATTTCTCCACTGTGAGATCAATAAAGTGAATCAATCAATTATCCAACCCGTGCATAACTTCAGCTTTGAGACTGATGCTTGGACATCCTCCTCAAAAAGCTGTAAATAGTTGTTTGAATTCATCCACTTTACAAGAGTCTCAGTTCTAAAACCAGCCCCACAGCATGATGGAACCTCCACCAACTTTAAGAGTAGCTAGCAGGTGTTTATTTTATACAGTCTTTGGAGGTGAGCTCTGCATTTTCTGGTGCCACGGAGCCACATATGCAGCTTCTGTATTGTCTTTAGCCTAGCAGAGCTGGTTTAAACAGCAACTCTTCCTGTTGTCTGCCATATCCTGATTATACTTCTTATAGTTGAAACAGTTTAAACCGTTTAAACGTCTAAGATTTTTGTTTGTAGTTTCCCCCCCGAATCCCGGAAGATTGTAGTTCGCAGATTTATTTTGCTTTGAGAATCCTAAGATATCGCTTTCAGAAAAGGGATAAAGAAAAGCGCATATTAGGCAACTGAAGTAACCTTTATCACAAATGGACATCAACTGTATGAAGTTCAAGGCTAGGGGAGCTAATCCAATAAAAATGGTATAGTAAGCAATCAGTATCGATCAGTTAGATGCAGTCAAACAAAAAAAAATCCTTCCACAGGCAGTAAACCTAAACGTTAAAAAACACTTCCTTAAAAATCTTTGTTTGGAGGGGATCAGGGGATCCTTGGAAATAAAGACATACCACTGTTATATTTTTATTGCTGGAATTGTAATAGATTATTATGAAGGTTGAGACGACTTGTTCATATAATATAACTGCATACAACAGTGTAGTCATTTGCATACTGAGGCAGAAATGAATACAGAAATGTAAATACGACAGGCGGAAATAAATAGCATGGAAGAAATAAATAGGGTGAAAAAATACAAAGGAGGAATAAACCAGACAAATATATTATAACAAGCACATAAACAAACACAGTAAAAAATAAATAAAGTTGAAGAATATAACGGACAATAAATATATAATTAAGGTAATAATTACAAAGGCAAATAAACAAAAAAGCTAATTAAAAGATATATATATATATATATCCCCTTCAGGTTGGAGGAGAGTCCCTGCCTCAAGTGGAGGAGTTCAAGTATCTTGGGTCCTGTTCACGAGTGAGGGAAGAATGGAGCGGGAGATCGATAGACGGATCGGTGCGGCTGCTGCAATAATGCGGACATCTTCTTCGGATGCCCCCTGGACGCCTCCCTCGGGAGGTGTTCCAGGCACGTCCCACCGGGAGGAGGCCCAGGGGACGACCCAGGACACACTGGAGAGACTATGTCTCTCGGCTGGCCTGGGAGCGCCTAGGGCTTCCCCCAGCAGAGTTGGAGGAGGTGTCTGCGGAGAGGGAAGTCTGGGAGTCTCTGCTTAGTCTGCTGCCCCCGCGACCCGGTTCCGGATAAAGCGGGAGACGACGAGTACGAGTATATATATCTTTATGTCTCACTGTATAATTTCATTTCTACCAACATTTATTTTTTTATTGTATTTTTTGGGGGGGAATTAATTGTATGCTTATTTCTTTTTGGAGCATTTATTTATTTCTGTATTTATATTTAATTATGGCAGGATTGGTCCGCCATACATCAATTCATTAAACTGACATTTAAAATATTTAAATTTTGCTTACATCTTTCATCCAGAGACTTATGACTTAGACAGATTTTATTTGCCATTTTGTTTACACAAGTGTAAAACAAAAACAAATTTCGTTTGGAACAGCTTTCTGGACAATTTCATCTTTTTTTTAAAAAGCGCAGCCTTGAAAAATAGTAAAAATGACTGTAAATTTACAGTTCTAAAAATATAATAAATATAAGAAAATACAATATAATAACCCATTTACAAAACATTCAGCAGTCTAATGGCATATAGTATATATATATAATTATATTATATATTATAATTATATATATATATATATATATATATATATATATATACATATATATATATATATATATACATATATATATATATATATATATATATATATATATATATATAAATGGCATACTGTATATAATATATAGAAAAAGTGAGGAGAAAATAAAATGTTCAACCTTTAATAGCATTTCTTTAGAAGTAGATATGTTTAGTATACTAATTTTCAACAAGTCATTAATGACTGGTAGAAAAGTTATATCACATTTTGTAATATCTTAAACTCTTACTTTTAGGATGATGCTTTTATCAAAATCTGGAAACTTGACCGTGTTGTTTATTTTGGCTAAATATAAAACCACAATAGTAGTTATCATCTGAAAAGGAAGAAACAAAAGTCAGTTTTTTTGCTTTACAGTAAAGGGAAATAATGAACAAAAGCAGAACTTACTTGTCCAATGCCCACAAACAGATAAGAGGGAAATCTGCAGAATCACAACACATAATACCATTTTCTAATAGTGATAATAGTGCCATACATGTGAGTGGACATTGTCCCACCTGTAGCTGGTTAGCACAGTTTTGTTCACCACGGTGATCAGAAACGAACTACCGGCGTAGAACAGCGCGGATGACAGCTTCAGGAGTCTGGGATGTTCCGCTGTTTCTAAGGAGACCTGCGCTGACATCTTCAGCTCCCTCATTACTACAGTAAACAGTTTGAAAGCAGACGTGTCGCTGCCGAAGTTATTTGATCCGTTGGGTGGTTTCAGTTGTGCATTTCCTGGAAAACATTGGCCACATCCGAATGGGGGAAAGGTGGGCGGTACTCACTGTTACACAATTCAGAGGCGGATCACAAGTGACCAAGTAGTGAAACTCACACTGATGTGTATTTTTCTATTTAAATAGGCTATATTTAAACCGTAGTATTGATCAGATAAAACTATCAGATACACTGATAAAACTAGCTGTTGGAATGTATCCAGTAAATATATTTTTATTTGGCTGGACATTGGCCAAAAATATTTCTAAGTAGGCTATCATTTCAGTTAAACAGCTAAATGGCTCCATCAAGGGGCCTGAAGGCTGAATGTCATCTGGTTTATCTGTTTTCAGTGTTTTATATAGTCAGCTGCCCAGCATAAAGGGAGGGATGAGAGAAACAGCAAACAAAATGCATTTTTTTATAAGCTGAAAGAACAGGTTATCTTTTGCTAAGTATGCATAAATAATTAGGAAGTTGGCATCATTTACAAACCATTCTGTATTTGTTTGCCCTGTTTTTTTGACAGGGGCCCCTTTTTGAGTCACTTTCTTCAGAATCAGAATCAGATTTATTGCCAAGTAGGTTTGCACTTACCAGGAATTTGACTTGGCGTTGATGGTGCAGACATATTAAATATATGACCTGACCTGTGGAGTATACAAAGTCTACCATACAAGCTTGCATGGACTAATTCTAGAAACGTTTGGGGAAGAATAGGTCTATTTTAGGTGCTTATTGCATTCCAGCATGGTATCGTGCTTGGGTGTGCGCAATAAGTAATTCTGCCAACTAGATGCGGTGGGCTCCGCCCACAGTGTCCCAGATGCTGGAGCCCCGGAAGACAAGCAGGAGTCCGAGCCAGAACAGGGAAACAGATCAGAACAGGAGGGCTCAGAGGTCCAGGAGTCGTAAAACCGGTCAGGAATATCAACGAGAACAGGAACAGGCTGGTCCAGGGTTCCAGGTGTCCACAGAGAGTTCAGGTAGGATGTTCAGATGGAAACCAGCAAGATCAGTGGTGGAGAGGCAGAACAGGTCAGGATATCAGGAACACTACGGAACACAAAAAAAACCCAACCCAGAACGCTCTCTCCACTGAGCCAAGACACGAACAGGGACGCTCAGTCGATAAGAGGCAGATCAGGATCAAGAAATCAGAAACACTATTGAACACTAAAACACTGCTCTCTCCACTGGCCCCCAAGAACGAGAACATGAAAAAGAGCATCATCATCAATGATCTGGCCATGATGGCTGAGCCTGAGCCATATAAATAGAAGCCGCAGCAGGTGGATTAGATGAGCAGAAATGAACAACCGGGCAGTTAGACAGGTGAATGGAGTGAGCAATTAGGGAGCTAAGATCATGACATATAAAAGCCTTTGGTGGTGATACTGGGGCTGGAGAACGAGAAAAGTTGTGGGGAGGCAGATATGATGAAGGTGGTAAAGGGGCAGTGGAGGGTGGCAGTTAAACTGGATGTGAGGGCATGTTAGATCTGAAACTTTAAATGCAGAGTCTTTAACGGTGATGGCTGAGGCAAAGGTGAGGAGCTGTACTTATTGGAGCTGGATTGCATGAGGTAATGGGTGAGCAGGTGAGAGAGTATTTCAGTTAAATCTAAGTCACTGGCTTTATATTTTAAGGAAAGAGCTTAAACTCAAAAAGTTGTGAACAGGCACAGCCAGGCATGTTGCAGATGTTTTCCATCCAACTGGCAAATAATACAAAAAAAAGCTGAAAGGAAGCTGAAAATAAAACCACTTTGAAGTTTGTATCTCTAGAAAAGTGCAAAACGTAAGAACTTATGATAAGTCAAAACTTTGGCAGTTTGCAGTTCAGTTTTCATCAAACTTTGATATGGTGCAAAAAACAAGGTGCAGTTTCTGTAGCATCAGCTCTTCAGAAACACAACACAAAAAGAAGGTAATGGACAGCGAGTGGTATTCTTGATTAGTATGTCATAAATCTTGAGTGTGGAACATCATAAAACAGAATTTTATTTTATTTCATATATTCAAGCATTTCCACACATATAAAGCTTAAAGGGGAAGTAGCCCATTTCCCCATCATTGGGTAAGGTAAAAATATTTTAAAAAATAATTGATATTAGGAGCTGAAAAATTGATATTAATAGCAGGCGGCAGAAAATCACAATATATATTTTGCTATATCCATTTCTACCCACAGCCCTAATTTCGACACCTTTTTTTCAACATAAAAAATGATAATAATTAACTATCTATCTAGGTTTAAATCTGATCAGTTCTGATTGAATTAAATCGAATCATATCAAATCGTCTCAAATCTAATCTGATATAATATAATATAAATCTACTGTTATGATGAGACAGCATGATGTAAAAACCTACTGCGCATATTGGAAACATTTAAGGTTAATAAGTCTCACAGTAACGGGGAGGAAAGGTCTGCAGAAGCGCTCCTTTGTGCATCTTAAGTGGAACAGCTTTTTGCTGAAGCATATATTCAGCTCTGCATTGGTGTGATGCATGGGATGGGAGACATTATCCAATAACTTAATACAGTTACAGCAACAGTGATGGTTTTGTTATTAAAGTCCTTCTGACTACCACCAACTGCCCCTCGATCTGCTCATCCAATCGATTCCTCTCAAGTGCAAATTATTTGTTGCTCCAACCTGCCACACCATGAAAGATGACTGATGCAAACAAAAAGACAAAAGGTATTCACACGCTGCAATCCAGTCTGCTCTGACCTGTCTGCTTAGAGTCTGCCTGCTTCCTGTTAAAACCATCAGTGTTGTTACTCCTGTCCAGTTCATTGTATTGGGGAACACCCAAAAAGTATAAGAGGGAGTGGGCTACAACTTTATTGCTTAATTTTTCAAATCCATTTGGAATATCGGTGATGTGTCAAGCAGTAACGTGTTGTGTCTTACCTTACAGAAAACCAAGCTGAACTGCATAGCTACATGCTACATCTTGACTATAAATTTGAAATGACTTCCCTTTTTTATTTTCCTGACATTTAGAGTGAACAACAAATAATGTGTAAATAAACACAGTTTATGTAAAAGCACATGTTTCTCTATTGCATATCTCATTAAGTTATACCTCATTCTATATCACCTTTAGACTGAAAAGCTATATAACAGCTGTACCAAGTTAGAAATTGTAAAGAGAAAGTACACACTGGTGGGAAACCAGGTAAAGAACAAGTGATCTGCTAGGGTAGGCTCTATATAATATTCTACCTTTTAGATAAACTGCCTTGGTTTAATGCAGTTAGTCACAACCTGGCTTAAAAAATACAAATATTTTTGTTTAGTTTAAGATATCTGAGTTGATAAATGTTGGGACATTGAAACACCACACTATAATAAAACAAACAAAATGCTTATCAGTGTTTATGAACCAATAGTGTCAAAAAGTGTCTAATTATAGTAATATTTACTTTTTTTATGATCATATTGTTTGTGTGGGATCTGTTTGGTGTAATCCTTATATTCCACAATACACTGCAGCACTGATCATTTTCTAAAGATGCCTACTGAAAGGTTAACAAAGTACCCTCGCAGCTGAATTAAAAGATTGTCCCTTTGCTTTAAACTTCAAAACAATTTGTGACCTTCAATTGGCTGCTTAGTCTTAATTAGACATTTAGTCTAATTTTACCTAATGTCCTCTCCACAAGATGGAGCTACAGCATACAGCTTGTATCTGCAGGACTTGTTTGGGGTTCAGCACTTTGCTTATATTTTATATAACAAAATCCTATGCTCAATACTAATCACTCTTCACTGTTGTTGGTCCAAAGGGAATTCACCTGACAAAAGACAACCCCTCCCCCCCACACACTGAGATACAGGGGAGTTACATAAGACATACAAATAAAAAAATAAAATAAAAAAAAAGATGGTGGCTAAGACAGTCCTGGGTTTAAATCCTGACCTAAGGTCTTTCTGCATGGATTTGGTCTGGATAGACTGGTTTCCATAATTAATAGTTAAGTTAATTGGCTGCACTTAGAGGTGAGTGTTAATGGTTGCATGTCTTGTGTTGCCCTGCCATGGAATGGTGATCTGCTCAGGGGGTACCCCACCTCCCTCCTACAATCTCCTGGAGATAAGCACCAGTGACCCTGAAAGACAAGCAGTAAGGTGGATGTTACATTTATTATTATTACTATTTTTAACACCTGGTACAGAAAGTGAATATAAAATTCCCAAATCTTTAGCTTCCAAACGTATTCATACCTCTGGTAGATGTAGATTAATATTTTACTTTTTATGTTTTTTTAGGGAAGAAGTTTGTTCTTGACAGGAATAGCATTCCAGAAATCTCTAAGAGGATACAAAAATGTTAAGTCATAAAACCATTTTTAAAGTATTTTTTATTTTGTTTACCTTTTATATATGCCCATTGTCACCGATTATGTTCATTACATTTATGGAAAGAATTTCCTGGTGCAGCCAGGGACCGGAGAGTGTTCGGTTTGGGAACCTCAGGATATCATCTCTGCTAGTTGCAGATAATGTCCCGTTTGCCTCATCAAACCAGGACCTTCAGCGTGCACTAGGGTGGTTTGTAGCTGAGAGTAAGCGGCTGGGATGAGGATCAGTACCTCCAAATCCGAGGTCATGGTTCTCCACCGGAGAAAGGTGAACTCCCCTGTTCAGTTCGGTGGATATTCCTTGTCTCAGTGCAGCGTCTGCAGTGATGTGGTCACTGTACTGGACTGTCATGGTAAAAAGGTAGCTGAGTGAGGGGGCAAAGCTCTCGATTCACTGATCGACCTACGTTCCCACCCTCACCTATAGTCATGAGATCTGGGTAATGACTGAAAGGCCAAGATCGTGAATATAAGCAGCCGAAATTAGTTTCCTTTGCAGGGTGGCTGGGCACACCCTTCGAGATTGGGTGAGGAGCTCAGTTACCCGGGAGGAGCTCGGAGTAGAGTCATTGCTCCTATGTCAAAAGGTACCGGCTGAGGTGGGTCAGACATCTGTTTCAGACGCCTCCTGGTTGCCTCCCTCGGGAGGTGTTCCAGGCA